TTACCAAGTCGTGTTCAAGACGCGCAATCTGGACTTCTTAAAATGGTGTTGATTTTGGTTTAAAAGTTTTTTGGATTTTAAAGTGAACAAAAACTTTTACAATGTGAACTAAAGTGTTGAGACGCTCTTTTCTCAATCTGCACTTGGTGCTATGGGACACCCTCTCAAAGTTTTGGTTTGATTTTGACTGCTTTTGGCTAATCTGGAACCCTTGCTGGGAGCAAGAAGTGAAAAGGAAGCAAGAAAGCTTCCAGCACCATGCTGTCAATGGAGAGAGGTTTCAAAACTGGTGTTTTTGTTTTGTTTTTGTTTTTTCTCCAAAAAGTGTTTTAAATGGCGTTGCTGAAGAGGCCTTCCCAGTGCAGAATAAATTACTAGACAACCAACAAAGAAAGCCTTTTTTTGGTCAAGAAATGGTCTTGGAAGCAGCTTCCATTTGCTGGAAAGCATTTTTTTCTTTGACTTGCTGATAAATAGGGTGACTGCTCAGGTTGTGACTCTGGAACGTCAATAAATTGATCGGTTTTGTGCGGCTTGGCCGGCTTCATTATCACTTTTTGCAATTTCCGCGTGGCAAATTCTGAAGAGATTGGTGTTAAGACATTTTTGGTTGAAAGTCTCAAGGTGTCTTGAGACGGTTTTTCCAAGTGGTTGAAACACCTCTTTTTGGTTTGATTGTTGAGACACCCTTTAGTCGCATTTTAAGGTTTTTGTTAAAGTGGTCTTGAGACATTCTTTTGGGTTAAAATTTCAAGTTTTCTGCTAAAGTGTGTAAACACCTTTTAAGCTTGACGTGGACCCAAAGTGGTGCTGCCATTTAGTGTTGAGACACTTTGGTTCAAGTTTTTCGGATTTTTTCTGTCAAAGTGGTCTTGAGACGCTTTGTTTTTTTTGGTTTGGTTTTTGGTCTGCCAAATTGTTAGAAACATCTTTTTCTGGCTGGATTCTGGGCTTCAGAAAAGTGGGCCCTGTTGGTGTGGAGATATCTTTCGTTCAAAGAAGTGGTCTTGGTGTGACCCTTCTTTTGGTTCAAAGGTTTTGGGTTTTCTTCAAAGTGGTTCTTGAAACACCCTTTGGCGTAAATTTTTTTGGGTTTGTCCAAGTGGTGTTTGAGACACGCAATCTGGACTTCTCAAAATCAGTGTGACACCCTTTTGGTTTAAAAGTTTCTTTGGTTTTCAAAGTGGTCTTGACACTCTTTTGGTTCAATTTTTGTCTGCCGGGTGTTGAGGCGCCCTTTTCCCTCGTGAGATGAGACACCCTCTCAAAGTTTTGGGTTTTCTGTCAAAAGGTCTTAAGACCTTTTGGTCTGCTTTTGGCTCGATCTGGAACTTGGCTGGGGTCAAAGTGTCAATTTTTTACAGCGAGAAATGCAAAGGAAGCAAGGAAGCTTCCAGCACCTTTGCTGCCATTAGAGAGGTTTGAAACTGGTGCTTTTGGGGGCTCTTTTTGGAAGCTCCAAAAATTTGAACTGGCGTTGCTTGAGAGGGCCTCCCCAGTATCTCCGACAGACCGGCTGGTCTAAACGCGTTACATGCAAAAACGCTCTTTGTGGACCGTGAGCAAACCACGAGTAACTACGCCGGGTGAATTTGAAATGGTCATGCGCTACGAAACAGCGGAAGCCAAGGGGTCAAGATCGCCCGTCCTGGACATGAGCTAAGTGCGCATTATAAGCAGGTAGCCCGTAGGTTAGCCTGTCCAGATTTCGCCGTTTGCACGGAATCGAGAACCCATGTCTCTGCAAGATCCGGGCCTGCTGAAAGCGGCTGTGCTTGTAAGATAGAGACATGTCCCTCGCTTCGTGCGTTGCGTAGGTTGCATTTTGCAGCAAGCGTTATTGTAGCATGTGATGCAGTGACGTAGCCATTGCATGTTTGCTGTACAGCTTCACGTCAACTCCATTGCAGCTGTGAACACTCTCAAGGTTGTAGACCTCTCAAAGGTCGTAGCTCAAAGCAGTTCGTGTAGCTGAGCCCTTAACCAAAGGCAACAACCCGCCATAGTGCTTGTTAACGTACTGCGCTAAGCCAAGCTTTACCCAAGTAGCCTGCTTTGGACGTTTTCCCGGGGTGTACTGGACCTACTACTACTACTACTGCTACTACTACTACTGCTGCTACTACTACTACTACTACTACTACTACTACTATTACTATACTGCTGCTACTACTACTACTACTACTACTACTACTACTATTACTATTACTATTATTACTACTGCTACTACTACTACTACTACTACTACTACTACTACTACTACTACTATTACTAACACTACAAGTCCTCCTGCTGCTGTTGCTGCTGCTGCTGCCGCTACTGCTACTGCTGCTACTGCTGCTACTACTACTACTACTACTACTACTACTACTACTACTATTACTATTCCTCCTACTATTATTACTCCTACTACTACTGCTACTACTGTTACTACTACTACTACTACTACTACTACTACTACTACTACTACTACTACTACTACTACTACTATTACTACTACTACTACTACTACTACTACTACTACTACTACTACTACTACTACTACTACTACTCCTATTACTACGACTACTTACTACTACTACTACTACTACTACTACTACTACTACTACTACTACTACTACTACTACTACTACTACTACTACTACTACTACTACTACTACTACTACTACTACTACTACTACTACTACGACTACTACTACTACTACTACTACTACTACTACGACTACGACTACTACTACTACTACTACTACTACTACTACTACTACTCTACTACTACTACTACTACTACTACTACTACTACTACTACTACTATGACTGTTTATTACTACTCTAATACTACTACTACTACTAACTTACTATACTTACTACTACTACGAACTAACTACAACTACTACTATACTACTACTACTACTACTACTACTACTTACTACTACTACTACTACTACTGCTACTGCTACTGCTACTGCTACTGCTACTGCTACTGCTACTGCTACTGCTACTGCTACTGCTACTGCTACTGCTACTGCTACTGCTACTGCTACTGCTTATGCTACTGCTACTGCTACTGCTACTGCTACTGCTACTGCTACTGCTACTGCTACTGCTACTGCTACTGCTACTGCTACTGCTACTGCTACTGCTACTGCTACTACTAAGAAGGAGGAGGAGGAGGAAGGAGGAGAGGAGGCGGAGGAGGAGCAGGAGCAGGAGCAGGAGCAGGAGCAGGAGCAGGAGCAGCAGGAGGAGGAGGAGGAGGAGGAGGAGGAGGAGGAGGAGGATGAGGAGGAGGAGGAGGAGAGGAGGAGGGAGGAGGAGGAGGAGGAGGGAGAGGAGGAGGAGGAGAGAGGAGGAGGAGGTTTCTGATCTTAAGTTCCTTGCGGAAGGGGCAATAGCGCAGGAGGAGGAGGGAGGAGGAGGAGGAGAGGAGGAGGAGGAGAGGAGGAGGAGGAGGAGGAGGAGGAGGAGGAGGAGGAGGAGGAGGAGAACATGAACACCAAAAACAAAAACCGCGCACCTTGAAGTGAAGTGCGACTTCGCCTGTCGCATGGACCGTCCGAGGAGGCCGCGTCCGGAAGAATTGCCGTGTGACAGCGTCGCGTTCAGGCTTCGTGCTCACCCACTCATATTTGCCCTCTACGCGCTAGGAAGGGTCAGGTGCTGCAGGCGGACCACACCTATGTTCTGCAACTCCAGCCATGCAGGGCTGCCCCTGAACCCCTGCCTCTCATATGGACGTGCAACCCACAACTGTTAATTCCATCCTAACACAGACCTGAAAAGCAGCAGAAGTCCTCGGCCATCTCACCGGCTGCTCTGGGATGCCTGCCAAAAGATGTCAGCAGGGCGACGTTGCCCGGAGTGCCCCGAGTGTCCGGAGTGTCTGGAGTGTCCGGAAGCCAATGTGTCCGGAGTGTCCGGAAAAGCACGGCATGCGTGACGGCGTCAAAAGCTGCTCTGCCTACGCTTGTCAGTTGATTTGAAGTGCAGCGGGCGGCGTTCTGTTCTGATTTTGAGGGGCACGTAAGTCGATTTAGCCAACACGTGCCCACCTAGTGGACAATCTTGAATGGGCATCCGCAAGACGTCAAGCATTGTGAGATTGTGTGGAAAGAAAAAAGCTGTTGTCGCAGATCCAAGCACACCTGGCGAAGATTGTCAATCTCAGCCTGTTGTGTCCTGTCTTTTTCTTGAAGCTCCTGATACTTTCCCCTAGCACCTCTTCCAGCTCCGACAGTTCCGAGTTAGTTGGACTTCGCGGCGGAGTATGTTCCGGCAAGCCGCCCAATGCAAAGGCCCGCTACAGTTAGAAACTCTCGAACACAGACTCGTCTCGAGATTCCAAGCGCCAGCGCAAGTTTGAGGAGGTGCGACAGGGTTGTCGTTCGCAACTAAAATTGTGGACACCTCCCACGCGCCAGCGCAATTTTTTGAGCAGGTGCGGGGGCTCCCGCCAACCCTACCCGGCCCTTCAAAACAGAATGAAGTTACCACGAAAATCCACGGGGAATCCATCGCACCATCCATGCATGCATCAACGATAACGAAGAACCTTCTCGAAGACCACCTCCGCAAAAACACCCTTCGCCACGCTTTCGGGAACATGGGAAAAGTAAAGCGCCACAAAAATGAAGGGCGACCCAAACATGTCTGTACCCGCCTAGTTACACAAGTGCTCTCGTCATTGCGGCGGGTTTTTGTCTTCTCCAGTGTGGAATTTGCTTTGAAATTCAGCACCATGCCGTCCTTACGTTGTTCGGGCCCTCGACGAGCAAGTGCTTGAAGGTGCATGTGGAAGAATTCGGAAGATGGCATGTTTTATGGCGTTGCCGTGCTGCCAGAACATGAACTTGAATCTGCAACATGCGTTCTCCAGCATTGGTGTTGAGGCAGCTCAGATGCTGGCTCAAGATTCAATAGTCTCACGATGCAAACAAGGGTTGCCAATGATGAGACGTATCAATTGTGTGGGTTGTCTATGTTATGGACAAGGATGATTCAACATGGATGTGTTGAAGCAACAGGTGGAGCCAGATGCTTGGATGTGTATCTGTGCGGGCGTGCGGGCGTGGATGTGTGGGTGTGTGTGTGTGTGTCTGTGTGTGTGAATATGGTTTCAGTGTCTGCCATCGACGAATTCGGTGGCAGAGCTCTCGTTTGTCATTCACGCCCAGGCCATATGATTTCCATTTCGACTTCCTCTTTCCGGGAAATCCATTTCTCAGGCCACAAACTGGTTGTCATCATTTCTTGTCAAAATGTGTTACAAAGAGTCGACAATGCTGCTCAGCAAGTGCGTTTTTGGTCCGGGAGTTTTCCGATCTGCATACCAGCCATGATAAGTAGTTGTAATGGCAAGAAAACTTGCGCATTTCCAGGTTTCCATGGGAATCTTCAGACGAAGGACAGGCCACGAAACTACGTTCTGGCTTGGAGGCCCGTTCCGTTTGCATTGATATGGTCGTTGAGATATGTTGAGATGAACAGCTACTTGTTACAGCATTGCGTGTGCTCACACAGGAACTGCCCAACGAGGTGCGGAAAAATCATCAGAAGACAGGCGGCGGATGCGTCAGCACGTCGTGACTTAGGTGATGCAGGGCACGGCGGTGCCAAGTGATCTTGTGGTGGATTCGGGATCCAATTGACATTTCAAAACGCTGGAGCGTCTGCCTTTGCCTGCAGGTTCTCCTGGATTTGAGCGCGGATTCTTGTGCAAGGCGGTCCAGCGAGGCAAGCAAGAGCTGATTTTTGTGTTGTCAGTCCTGTCCCGACTCTGTCTCAGCAATTGCTTTCGGACTTTGATCTGGCATAGCACGGCAAACCTTCGACACAGGATTTCGGCGTTCTTTTCGGTGAGCTTGGGCTGACATGATCCTTACCGTTCTATATCACATTGACGAACAGCCACGTAGTATTCATGATTGAGCTCGGCAAGGAGCGGCCCTGACACAATGTCACTGCGTAGCATGCTGCTGTGATACGGATGGTCGAGATGCGTCGAGATGACGTTCCTGCAGAATCCAATCCTTGCAGGTGCGACTTTGAATGCTGAGGCACGTTGCATGCGGGTTTTATGTCTGTCAATACCCGAATATTGGGAAGCCCCCCTCGACAGCCTGACCGTGCAGCTAACGGGCAGGCTCCCAGCCATGGAAGCCAGTCGTCCCTGCAAGACACCCAGGGTTCCGATGGCATGTGCCGCTGCGCCGCAAAGGGCACAACATGTGCTTGCGAAAGACCTTTTTCGTCTCTAGCATTCCTGGCATTCTCGAGGCCTGGATCTGTGCCGAAACTTAAGAAGAAGGCAGGACTGTAGGCGAATGGCTGGAATAGAGCTGAATAGAATTCAAGCCAGACGTTACCAACAAGGCGCCGGGCCATTTTTGGTCGACGCCACCGTGGCAGCCCAAGGGACCCTTGTGCAACTTTGAGAAAAATCAAAAGTGCCGAGTTCACATCATTGCCCACGTCGATGCTCAATCCCTTGCAACGCTTCTTGTACGGTGTCGCTTTAAGGCTCCGTTACGATTTCAAGGAGCAGAAGGAAATTCAGGCACCATGCCGGTTTCAGGGATGTGGCATGCGGGTGCATTGCAAAGACATGCAAAACATGGCCACACGCTACCGTGGCATCGGCAGGCCCTGATCCTGAACTAAAGAGATCTAAAGAGTCTGAACACGTCACCCTAAACCCTAAGCCCTAAACCCTAAACCCACACCCTAAACCCTAAACCCTAAACCCTAAACCCTAAACCCTAAACCCTAAACCCTAAACCCTAAACCCTAAGCCCTAAACCCTAAACCAGAATTGCCCTCTAAACGCTGCAAACCAAAAGCATAGGTCGGAGACTGGACTGGGGTGGAGCAGTCTGGTCGCCTGCGAAAGCCCGGCCGCTCCAGAGCCGGGGCCCCGGAAGAGGATGCTTTTAGGGTTTTCGGGTTTAGGGTTTAGGGGTTTATTGTTTACGGTTTGGGGTTTAGGCTTCTTGATGTGGACCTGCACCCGAAGCCTTCTCAGCCCCATCGAATGGCCTGGCAAGGAGTGTGACTTCCACCGACTGCCTGGCTTCATGTGTGAGGAGATCCTCAGCCGAAGATCTTAACTCCTAAACCCCCAAACCCCCTCAAAGAAGCCCCCCCGAAACATCCTAAGCAAGTCCCGAAGCATGCCCTGATCCTTATTGGAGGAGACCGCGCAGGTGATCTTGGAGTCCAGATCCTCAGCTGACTGGCAGGGCTTCAGCTACTTAGTCTTTTGGCGTTTGCAGCAAAGTGGGAGATACTGTACCTACCAGGAATTACCGCTATAGGAAGAGTGAACGCTTTGTTTCTTAAAGGGTGGCGCTTTTGGGAGTGACCATAGCCTCATGCTAGAGAGGAGTCGGGTGTCTCAGGTCCCTGGTTCTGACCACCGCTAGTTTGACAGAGTTTCCATAAGGGCAGATCAATCGCCCCCAGGCATTGCAAGAAGCAGACCTCGCGGTTTTCGGTTGAGCCCGATTCGGTGGACAAGACTCCGACCTTTGAGTACTACCCGCTCGGTGCCGAGTTGAAGGAAGGAAAGGTGGAGATGCATGCGTGACAGTCTTTTGTGCTTTCTCAAAATCAGCTGCTTGAAGCTGCGTGCCTGTGCAGAAAATGAGCAGCTAGGTTCCAAGCAGGAGAATGGGTGGATGATGCAATGAGGACAGCCAGAAGCCGGTATTGTGATAGAGGGGCAAGACGAAAAAAAACGTGCATATGAGCGATGCGGAATCACGTCCACACATGTCCAAACCCGCCGCCTCCTCGGTTCCTTGGGGTTCTTTCCAGGAGCCTGCTGGAGGAGACCATCGAGTCGCGGTTCCTTCCCTACGTGCGGCAGCGTGCCCTGGCCGGGAGTGCTCGGAAGCTGACAGTAACGGCAATTTGACTGCATGAAGGCTATGGTTGCCGTTTCTGTGCCGTGTCTGACATCTTGGTGAGCCGCCGCCTGAGTTTTGTCCAGGATGTCCGTGTCGGATCAGGTCAGATCATGTCGGATCACGTCCGAGCGCATTGGGCTGTCCACGTTGTGTTCCTGGCACGGTTTCAGGACGCTACTTGCCTGGAGAGCGTCGTACCCACGCCGTCCATTTTGATGGCCACGCCTTTGTGACAGCCGTGCTGGGCCTCTCACGTCCAGACAGCTACCAGGTGCCTCAAGACACCGCAGCAGAGGGAGGCTGAACAGCAGGAGTGTTGCAGTGCCTCGCAGACTTGGCCAGGGCGGCTTGTACATCCAGCCAGATGCCGCGGTGGCATCGCGCATGTACTTTCGCCTAGAGCCAGGAGACTTGCTGGCCCATTCCTGAGATGTGCAAAGTCTGGGGTGGGATGGAGAGGTCCCTCGTCGCATGTGGCAGTTGAGGTGCATTCCTTCGATTTACAGCATGGAGCAAGGTTCCTGGCTTTCGCACGCTTCAGACAGCACCAGTTTGCTACTGCGAACATGTTCGGAACGTTGTGTAAATTCCGCTGTAGGTTCACGTTTGGAAGGGTGCTCGCTACAGCCTTGTCTTCTGGATCAAAGATTCCTTGCAGGCAGGAGCGGAGCATGAGCACCATGATCCTCTGCCGTTCCGGGGAAAAGAAGCTGTGCCAGGCCGTAAGGGACCGGACGACACCCTGGTACGACTCTCTGGCTGTGAGCCACCAAGGGTGTGGACTTGAGGCGACCCTAAGCCCAAAGGCATACACCCTCAGAAGATTTCAGAGGATTTCAGAAGATTTCAGAAGATTTCAGAAGATTTCAGAAGATTTCAGAAGCTTCTGAGGCTGAAGGAGATCCCGATGCCTTGTACAACCTTGCTCAGAACTATGAGCCAAGGTCCCAGCATACACACAATCACATGCATGCCATCTCATAGTGATCAAGGAGATTTAAACCAACAATCTTTGGAATTCTGAAAAAAGGTCCGCTAAGGGATGAAGAATGGGATACGAGATGGGAATGTGTACTAAAAAGGGGACCTGCCTTATGGGTATTTTGGACAAGTGTTTTCCACAAGTACCATATGTCTTCGATACATGTGTGTCCTCTGCGGCCTTCAGCGCTCGCTTAAACCTCGTTTGCCATCGTGCCATTGATTTCGATGACAGGCAAAAACGCGAAAAGCCATACACAACAGTGTGTCTATATATGCATATGTAAATATCCACACGTACTTATACATATGTGACATGAACAGAAAATCCACAGAACTGTCAGTTAAGCATGTGTGTATGTCTTCGCATGAGTGCTCTTGCCGATCGGATTTGGACACTTTGGACACTTTAGCCACCAGGCACGGCCTCTTCGGTCGTCACTTGGATCTCCACAAGGCAACCCTTGTCTCTTGGGGCACAACGTGTAGGTCAAAATCTGTTGTTTTGGCTACATAGGGCTTGGGGCTTGGGGTGCAAGGGACTTGATCTCTTCGCTTCTCTGTTCTGTTCAGGCCCGGGAGCTGTACGAACGCAGCGCAGCAGCTGGACACCACTTTGCACAGAACAATCTCGGGTGCCGGCCCTCAGATGCAAAGGGAAGGCCGAGGAAGGCCCGCAGAGTTGACGCGTTCCTCCGTACTGAGGTTGTTGTATCGGCGCCTCCATGAAGGCGGCGCGGGTGGTGACGAACTGCAGAGGCCTGTCGCTGAGATGAGTCGAGAGATTGTGAACATGCAAAGACCGCCTCAACAGCTTGTCAGCAAGGTCTGTCTACTGGCTCAAAGCAGCCTCGGAAGCGGGCTTTGCAATGGCACAGAAGAACCTGGCTCTGGCACTAGCCTCAGAGTGTGTTCGCCTCAGAGTGTTTTTGGCCACGCTCTCAACTTTTCCCCTGTGTTTAGACTCACTGAAAAACCTGCCGGTACCGTGATGGCTCTGCCAGAAGAAATAGTTATGAGGTCGCATCGCAGCATGCTAGGACATCCCCTACTCCGTGAAAAAGCATCCAGGGTAGTACGAGGGCGCGAGATGAGCCATCCGCGCCACCTGCCTCCAAGCCGGCGTCTATGGCGGTGCGTGGGACGGCCACGTGCAATCATCTGGGTATATGCACTTTGTGCCATCTACGCAGCGTGCGCAGTCGGCTTCATTCAGATTGGAGCTGTGCCCGTTTTGCCCGTTGTGCCCGTGTCGCGAGTGGCATCTCGGGTGTCGGACTTGCCCCGCCGAGAGCTCTGGACTTTTGCCACGCTGACTTTGGCCGGTTTCGGCTCCTTCCCATCACAGGCAGGAGAGTGCTTGTGCAATCAGCTCATCCCAATAAACTCGATGCAAGCCTACCGGAAAGCATATGATAAGCCGACACTGCATGGTCTCGTTTTGCTCGGGCGCTTGTGCAATTTGAACGAGGCGGCTGAGCCGGCTGGGCCCTCGGCTGAGGATGCGGCGCTGTTGCGGGGCGCCTTCGCAGCCATGGCCGCGGATCCGCGGAGGCGCCGGGGCAAAGCTTTTGAAGAGTGGAGCTGCTAAGACTGCTAAGAAGCAATTGCTATAGAAGCATTTCTGAAAGAATGAATCAAATCAGTAGAACTCTGGAGTGCTTTTTCTCAGGCCTGGTGCTCAGGAGGAGCTCGAGTCAGCAGAGGAGGCGCGCAACAGGTGATGCGTGTGAGTTGAGGCAAGACGTAAGACTTGGTGGGTAACGGAAACTGTACTCCTAGGCGTTCACGACAGTCATCGAACGCTTCGACGAAGCTGGAGCCTCACGCCAGGAGCCGTGAATAGAAGTGAGCTTCAGTGCCAAGAAGTTGAGAAACGCTGCGCGTTGCATGTTGCCTGTCACTGCCCCACTGCCGTGCCTGCCTCCAGCAGGATCGCGGCGAGCTGCGCATGGCTCGGGCACAGGACGGTGAATGCAGGGATAGCGAGATATTGCAGCGGACTCGGGCATTCTCGATTGAAGAATTGAAATTGTCGAACCATGCCCCGGCAGGCTCGAATTGCCATAAATGATTGTACTGGAGGCCTGTGGGAGTTGGAGAAGGACATAGATTGTCTTGAATATGTCGGGCCACTTATGACAGCTTTTTGGGGCCTTCCTGGCTTGTCGACAGGTTGAGGGCATTCTTTACTTGTCATCGTTGGCTCTCGTCAAAGGCATCCTCGTAATTGTCCATTCCCGGCTCCTAGTCGACGTCCACCAACACGTCAAAACTGTGAAGAGTCACAGGCCTTCGGTCCCCGCCTTCGCAACATGTTAGAAGCGCGAGTGAGACCTCGGGTGGAAGGTTTTACCCGGAAAACCTTGGCAGCGTGTTTGAGTACTCTCTACACCAGATTTGAGCATCATGGTGGCCTGTTCGACGGCCAGGATTCCACGAATCGGGACGGACCTGTGTACTCAAGTGTGGTGCCGGCGGCTTTGCCGACCTCCGTCGATCCCTGTGACTGGTCACGCTGTTGATGCCTCATAACGCTATACGCGGCCGCAAATGGTTGGCACCACGTCTGAATCTCCTTCCGATTTGTTCGACCGCTAAATCGTAAACGCATGGCCGTGGTTGGTTCATGACCCGTACTATCCCGTACTCAGACAGCGCCGAAGCTCGCGTCATTGGGAAGTCGCCTGCCAAGCACAGCTCTCTGCCAACCCTTGCTATGAAATTCTAACGTGGGTACAAGGCTCTTTTGAGTCAACAGCTAACAGCGCTCTGTGCACCCCGAAGATGCTTCGTGGTTCTCCTTCTTCCTGTCGTTTGGGGAGGCCAGCTTCCGTCGAAAGCAGAGGCAGCAGTGAAAGACTACTCCGATGTGGTTCAGCTCATGGAAGAAGACGGTGCTACAGGTGCAGGTTCTAAGATGGCCCCATGCTCGCATGCCTCTGGCAATCTGGTATCTGGCTCCTCTGCGTTCTGCCAGCAGGAACCTTCGACTACCCCAGCGTCTTCGTTCGACGAGGTCTCGCACGAGAAGAGATAGCTTATGGGCGGAAGGACAAGAAGCAGTGGGAAGCAGCTGCGCAGGAGCAACCGTAAGCTTGCTGGGTGAAGTTCTGCCCTTCATGTCTCTGGAAGCCATAGACCAGTGCAGGACTACACCAAAGCCATCGACACGTGGCGTTCTCGACCAATTTCAGAGTATCTTGGCATGCAGGGATCCAGGAGCGCATTCCCAAATTTAATTCCTCCTGTCACCAGGGCTTTTAGAACCCAATTCTACCCCCATTCGGGTACTTAAGGGGCTTATAAGTGGGTTATAGCTACACTTATCGTTGGGTTATAAGTACCCTGAACCTCCAAGCATGGGGTGGACATCTGAGGACAGGTTTGGGAGTCAACCCCTTGGTCCTGAACTACCGGGGCAATGCTTTTAGCCAGCTGGGCCGTTTCCAAGATGCACTTGCAGACTACCGGGAGGCGACTGAGATTTTCATGAAGGACCCCAGGTCACATCGCACATCTAAGAGACAAGGGCACCTTCTGGTGCCGAATGATGCAAGTACGCGGCTACTCCTTGCGTAGTCGTGTAGCCTTCAGATGCAGTGCCCTGAGGACAACGAATACACGCAAGCAGCACTGTCCCGTTGCAACGAGGCCCTGTCGCTCTTTGGTGTCAATGAGCCCGTTGAAGCTGTGTCGATTATGGAAGATGTAGTGCGACGCGACCCCAACATTGCGGATGCACGCGTTGCCTTGGCTGCATCGTATTGGTCTGAGGGTGACTACAGCCGTGCTGAAGACGCATGGCGTGTTGCCTGCCAGAACACAGACGTCGGTTGTCAAAAGTACAAGGACCTGTCCTGGGTGAAGGACATTCGACGATGGCCCCCCCAGCTTGTCGCAGACCTTGGACGTTTCCTAAACAGGGCGGTGAAATGAATGAAATGAATCCCACGGCACACTTGACTCCGATTATGTCGCGCAAGCCTTCGCCAGTAAGAGATCCTTCGACACTCTACGAGGGGTGAGCGTCACCACGTCCCTTTGCAAAGCGATGGAGTACCTGACACATGGCTGCGAGATATTGGTGAGCAGGTACGGCAAGGCCATAGCCACAGTCATATAGAACTGTGGCACGATGCTTCCAGCATTCAATCTGAACATCGGATTTGCTGCGCATTTCGCTGTGACTCTCTTGGCACAATCCCCCAGAGCTGCGCCCGCAAGCCAAGAAAGCTGGAGGATGTAGAGGGTCGAGGATTTCAGGAATGTTTCTTCCAGTGGGTGCGCAAGCTCAGGCCTATGCCAACGGACAGGGTGTGCGGCGAGACGACGCGCAGGCAGTTGTGAAGTCCTGAGCGTTGAAAGATGCTTAACATGTTTATAACATTTCATAAAGTTTCGAGTTTGGACGCCAACGATATTCTCACATTGGTCCCCTAGGTTTGGATGCGGCGAGCCGCGGAGCAGCTGGAGGCCAGTAGACAAGGTAGGATGGCATCATCTGGATTCACTTACATGCTAGGTCGAGGCGGCATATATGATGGGCGAGATGTATCGCACAGCTGGCATGGTGTTTCTTTGCGTCGATGTGCGAGATGCAACTGTTCCGGGCCATTCTGTGCTTCGCTAGGTCGAGGCAGGGGCGTTCCTGCCGATTCGTCAGAGGCCGTCCGGTTCTTGGCCGGACAAGCAGCAACAACCCGTGGCAATGCTACTTATACAGCGTTACGAAGGCGGTTTCGTTTGTGCTCAGGCCAACTGGTACCAGCGCAGTGCTGAAGCTGGATTTCCGAAGGCTTCCCAGAGAATGCAGAGAATGTCTCCTCCGTAACCTCCTGCGTTCCAAAGTAGCGAGTGGGATTGAATGTCGCCTTGCAAGAAGGCACCGAAACAAGCCTCCTGCAGCGTTCATTCAACCTAATGATTAATGGTTTCGCGGTCGGAGTCCTTGTCCGGGCCTTGACCACGATGTAGCAAAGACATAGCTACTGTATGTGGTTGGTTGGATAAAGATTGGAAGTCAGTGGGCTCGTTGTAGTCAACTCTTGCACGGCCAGGATTAGGACGTGCACAGCAGTGGAAAGTTCCATTTCCTGTCATCATCAAAGCAACCCTGCAAAGACACAAGCGTCAGATCATGGTCACTTCCACTCCCCTCATGTCTTGCAAAGACGTAGCTGCGAAGCGAAATGGTGTGGATGGGGCCTGAGAGCGTCTCTCTGTCAGGCTCAGTACACCCTGGGTATGCTGTACCTTGAGGGTACCGGCATAGTCCTCAGCTTTGGAAGATCACACCGGAAGCCACATCGAAATCTGCAAGGCCAGCAGGCAGACTTGCGGCAAGCTGAGATGTGGAGCGCGGCTCAAGATATTGACGGTTGTGTCAGCGTTACACAGTGATATCAGTGTTGCACAGCAGATTGAAGCGAAGGCTGAAGTTTGCTGCCCGGCAGGGACATGCGGAGGTTCCCAGCTCAGTAAGGAGCACTCCTTCCAGCCGCATCTCGCCGCTTCTGGCCCGCTTCTGGCCGCGTCTAGCCGCTTCTTTCCCGTCTGCCCCTATGTCCGGCCGGTTTTCGGTAGGCCAAGAACAATGTGGCCACGATGTATGCCCAGCGTGGTGAGGTCCGAGCCAGAGATTTTGTTGATGCCACACGTGGTGCACGAAGCAGTTATGACCAGGTTGAGGAAGCCTCGAAGATCTGGGAAGAGCTTGCCCAAAGTACTTTGGCCTCAAGTTTATACAGCAGCTGGCAGCCGACAGAGACTTCAAACTTCACGTGGGTTCCAAGCTTGCAGGTGGAGAGCCCAACGCCCAGTGCAACCTTGGCAAGGATCTGAGCTGCGACGTTTTCGTGCAAAGCTTCAGATTGCAGAACGCAAGGCGTCGTTCCTCCACATGACTTTCTGAATTGAAAAAAACATGCAAGCTCAGATAATGCATCAAAAACGAAAACATATAAGAGGTGTAATGCATGCATGCATACTGCGCCGGGCCGATAGTTCGACCCACCAACATCTTGGGGTTCTTACACCCTTACCCCGCCCTCTTCCCCATAGACTCCTGACACAATGGGGCTGGGGGCCTCCTCCGGAGCTTCTATAGTACTATATTTTCAAAACGGGGTATTAATTTCTCCGCTAGCAGGCGCAGGGAAAATGCGACTTTTCGGCACTCCGCTACTCCGCGGGAGCCTTCACTGTCTGCATGCCATCCAACATGCGCCGTGGGTCGAAACTTTCGGCCCGGGGGTGTACATATGTATACATATATATATAAATATAAATAAATAAATATATATATATATATATATATATATATTATGTATGTGAGTTGTATCAATGCTCTCTCTCTCTCTCGCTCTCTCTCTTCGGAGCTGTCTAAAGCAGTTCCCGGCATGTTTCACCGAGGCATGGCCTTCCTGCGCGGAGCGGGCCGCGATCCAGATCCGAAGGAAGCGTCGCGATGGCTCAGCGTCTCCTTTGCAAGCATGGCATTCTCATGTGGGACTTGTAGAATTTCCCCCCAAAGCCAAAAGCCCTGCACCCTGAATCCTGAAAAAACATCCTGGGGGCTGCTAGGCTGCTCTGCCTGGCGGCTCGTCACACCCCTTGTTTCAAGGCCTGGCAGCTGCTCAGGGCCACCAAATGGCTGCCCAAGCACTGGCCTCGCTGGTGCGGCACCGAGGGTTTTGGGATGTTTGGGGTTTAGCGGGGTTTAGGGTTCTGGGTCTCAGCAACGATCCCCCGCTTGACAGGGTCCCTAAACTCCCTGGGCCCTGGGCCCTGAGGCTGAATTTCAGGATGAGAGACACCTCCGCCCATGTTCGTACTTCCGATGAGCTAAGGCCGCGTGACTTGGTGGTGTTGGACAGGACGTGCCGTTGGGAACGGAGAGATATGGCATGCCTTCTGGTTGCTACAGTCCATCCGATTGTGTTTGCTGCAGCATTTTAAGCTCGAGAGAGCATGAACCTGCATGGGGTAAGCATCAGCCTCGTGTAAGTCTCTTACGCAGGCTTTTCCAACCTTTTGATCGAAAGCATTCATCTTGCACTCCCCCAAAGCAGCCATGGCGTTGACGACTCCCCTGACGGAGCTGCTCGGGATCCGGCACCCCATCATGCTGGCCGGCATGAACGGCGTCTCTCATGCGGATCTGGCGGCGGCTGTCAGCAACGCAGGCGAGGTCGTCAGCTCTGGGGTGCGCAGACAACACCCCCCCCCCCCAAAAAAACTGCGTTTCTCTCTTGAGCAGAGCTTTCGATGTGACTCGAGGTTCTTTTGCTTTTTCCTTCAGCTTCCCAGGTGGTATTGGCTCCATTGGTGGGTTGACAATGACACCGAAGGTCCTCACGAAGGAAATCACGTGGCTGAAGAATGCCTTGGCGGACAAGTCCTTGCCATTCGGAGTCGACCTGGCGATTCCACAGATTGGTGGCAATGCTCGGAAGACGAACCATGACTACACCCATGGCCATCTACCAGAACTCATTGACATCATCGTGGCAGAGAAGGCCAAGCTCTTCATTTGCGCTGTGGGCGTGCCTCCGAAATGGGCGGTGGACAAGCTTCATGCTGGGGGTGTGGTCATTGCCAACATGGTCGGGTCTGTCAGGAACACGCAGAAGGCTTTGGATGCTGGAGTAGACATCATCATCGCGCAGGGAACCGAGGGTGGAGGCCACACTGGCGACATTGGCACCATGTGCCTCATCCCCCAAGTAGTGGACGCTTGCCGCGGGCGCCGTTCCTTGTTTCAGATCGTGCGAGCATATTTCTTGTGTGATTGCCAGCATGTTCTTCATGCTAACATATGTCTTCAACATGTCTCAGCTGTGTCTTGCAGAACCCTTCTTCAATCCGAGGAAACGCGTTTGGAGGCGCTGTGGTATGCGTTGCCGCTGGTGGCATTTTTGATGGCCGCGGTTTGGCAGCTGCGTTGGGGCTCGGCGCTTCTGGTGTTTGGGTGGGAACTCGATTCATTTGTGCCGAAGAGTCTGCTGCCCCACAGGCCACAGGTGTGTGTGAACTCCCTGAAGTTCGTTTGCCATAGGCTATAGTAACTTTCGTTTCATCCTCGTACTGTGGTGTTGCTACAGTGTCGCAGAGTGGAAGCAAAGCTAAGCTGACCAGGCCCACAAAGACAAAGTCGTTGCAGCGGGAAGCCAGGACTGGTACCGGGAGAGAGAATTCGATTAAAAGTCTAAGATCCTGAAACCTCCTCAACCTCAGAAAGGGCCATCAAAAGCAGAGCAAAGCCGCCGGAAGCCCCTCAAAATCGCAGAGCCCTACGTGGTCTCAGTAGGCACTTCCCGAAGGATACTGTGCGGACCTTGGTGCTTTCTGGCCGGCCGCTGCGCTTGATTCCAAATGACTGGGTCCGCAGCTGGGAGAAGGACGGGTGGGGTGCGAGTCTGTTCAGTTCTGAAGCCTGACAGGGACCTGCAGCTGTGATCTGCATGAGGAGCCTGCCAAGATTAAAGATCTTTGTGACCAGGGCGTCGTCCCCCTGACGCACGACATGAAGGAATCCAGAGATGATTCAGAGAAGCGAAAGGGAATCTTCGACGCAATCAACAGTTTGGCTGGACAAGCGGTGGGGGGTGTTCAAAGTATCGAGCCTGCCAAGAAGATTGTTGACGACATGGTCGCTCAGGCTACGGAGGTTCTAAGGATGAACGCGACAATGGTCAGCAAACTCTAGACTACGAGTTGTGGACTACAGAGCCAGAAGCTTGTACCCTCGGCAGATGCAATTGGCATCGCTGGCATTTGAAGAGCGACCAAAAGAGTCAGAAGATGTCACAAGCTTCGTTGGCTTTGGCCATGGGCAACTGCCCGCGTGCCCGGCGTGCCCGCAGGGTCGCTGCAATTGCCTGTGAGACAAAGATGTTGCGCTGGTTGCTGTGCTACACTTGAGGTTGATGGTACGGTGATTCGCTCGTGAATCCGGTGCCCAGGAGTTGAGGCCGTGAGACCGCGAGGATGGCCATTGCTTGAAAAAGACTTTGCATGGGGTTTACTGCCTTTTTGCAGATGGCTGCAACGGGCGACTTGCCGCTGGTGTTCGGCCTCTGCCTTCTTGTGCTCTAAGCTAAACCGTTATCACCATGCTGCAAGACAACCAAGAAATTACAGCAAGCGTAGCCTTGGCACATGCAGAATTTGCATCATTTTGGGGGTTGTGTGCTATCTTTCTCAAAGGGCGTACTCGCTGTTCTAGCTGATTCTGGCCAGTTGTGGACACCATGTCTCATGAATGGCGCATGCATGCAGACAGCAGTCGTGCTCTGAGACAGCCTGTTCTATGCTCCCAAGACATGCCTCGTAAAGCTGAGGCCCCCTGTTCGCGGAGTACCTTCTCCTTGCCGGAGAGGTGGGAAGTGCGTAGAAAGTGAAGTTCACGCCACCCCTCGCTTCGGCAAGGTGGGCTGGGGTGAGCTGGTCAGTACGGAGGACATGGCCATCGGCCAGGGAGACATTCTGATTGTCGAAAACATGCAGACACTGGGCGTGTGGAGTGTGCGAGTGGGCTGTCAGAAGGACAGTTTCACGATGTTCTACGAGTTGTGAGACCGAGGAATGACTTCGTTGAGGTTGACCCGGTAAATCCGCGAGGAGGTGCTGTGTCCAAGTCAAAACACCTCCCGGCTGTTCAGGGCTTCAACACGAAAGCGCTGCCACAAGCTGGCGAGTAGGCGATGCGAAGTCACGAGCCGATACCCCTTCCACGCCTTCGTGCTGCACATTCATGCTCTTTTGGTGTCGATGAGCTCTGCGCAGCGAAGGCGCCTTTGCGGTGGCAGAGGCGAGCGCCATCTGTCCACAGATTGCCCGTCTCATCGAACACTTCGCTGTGCGTCGGGAGCCTACGAGTGTTCCAATTGTTCCAGCTAGTTTCATTGCACTTGCATAGACTGGTATAGACAGGTGGTGGGGAGGTGATTCTCACAAGCAGCTCGGCGGACTTTCAGCCACGCTGCAAGCAATGCTCCTGCAGTTCGAAACCTTTGTACCTGTTCGCAGCTTGCATTCCGCACTTACCATACATGTGGAGCTAAGGAGACTACCATCCAAAGCAGCACTGCTCCTTTATACCACAGAAGGGCCCTTTCCCTCCGCATTGTGTACAGGGCACAGTGGGCTCACATTTTTATGAGCCCATAGCTGCTTGCGTACAGAAGCTGTACAGCGGAGACGCGCCCTACAGCGACCAGGCGACCTGAAATGGAGTCAGAGGGCGGCATGTTCACCAGCAGCCAGAGTTTCGCCGTTCTTGCGGCAGGTAAAGATTGCCTTCAAGGGCTTTCATGAGGAGGTAGATTCCCTCGGCTCGTTTGAGTATCCGGATGAACAGAGCACGTGGGTCGCCTGACAGCACCTGTTCATACGTTGATGCGTGTTCGCTCGCAACTGTCCGTGTCGTTAGCTCATTAATACCTCTACATGTTCATGAGTCACCAGGAGAGAATCTCCCACGCAGAAGAGCCCAACGAGAGAAAGCTGCACGGCTATCCACTTGCGGCGTGGACTGGAGCAGTCCTGCTCGATTCGTCGAATCAGGTGCCCGAAGACTTCATATCATGTCAATATTGTGTCAATTGCGCAAGCATGTTTAGTTCTTTTTGATAGTTCTACAGCACCATGCCATCACCATGCAGGCTAGTGATGTCAATGCACCGCCCGACATCATGTCGGTGTTCAGACGCGAGACTCTACAGTCTTGGCTGCGGCACCGTGGGACGACGCTTCCTTTCGCCCTTGAGCAATTTTGTGTGTGTGTGTGTGTGTATGTGTGTGTATACTCGTAGAAACTGTGTATAGGGTGCCTGACACTTGAAGCCAGCTCTGACGAGGAATCGTATCTTTGTCTGTGGGTGTCTTGGAAGAACTTCAACTTTGAGGGGTCTTTCTAGATTTTCTGAAAGGTGCGGTCAGGATAGCCAGGTCTTGAGTCTCGGGTCGATGGTTCCAGGCTGGCAATGGATTACTGCGTGCTTGACACCGTGGCCAACGCAGTTAGCGCAGGATTCCGGTGCCTGGACTGGGCTAGACTGGAAGTGGGTGTGTGGGTGTGTGTGCATGTGTGTGCGAAGTTCTTGAAAGCCGTCCAGTTGAATGGTTGTTCCGCTCTTTTGTGTGTCAGGCATGTCCACATGATAATGGACGCTTCGCGAGCGGTTCACCTCCCTAGCATGGGCAAGGCCGATGGGGCTGCACCACTTCGTGTTATTCTGATCAATTCTGGTCGTCATGGTTGTTTGCATGTTTTTGCTGCCGCTGCCACTGCCGCTGCTGCAGCCGCCTGCGGCCGCTGCCGCTGCCGCTGCCGCTGCCGCTGCCGCTGCCGCTGCCGCTGCCGCTGCCGCTGCCGCTGCTGCTGCTGCTGCTGCTGCTCCAGCTGCTCCTGCTGCTCCTCCTGCTGCTGCTGCTGCTGCTGCTGCTGCTGCTGCTGCTGCTGCTGTTGCTGTTCTCGCTGCCTCGCTGTTGCAGTTGGCAGTTGAGGCCGTTGCTTTTATTGCTCGTGTCAACGTGCAAAGCAAGACGGATGCAAACCCCGCCAGTTCGGCACTGGCTTCTTCAGCGATCCGGGGGACATCCAGAAGCAGCTGAAGGCTGCGGGAGTGACTGTCGCCGAAAGCCCAGATGTCAAGTAGTTGTGCGTGCTGCAGGTGATGTTATCCCCAAACCCCAGCAGTCGCTACTGACCATTGAATGTAAAGGGGCATCCTTAGAGTCTTAGAGGCATCCCTTCTAGCAGTTGCCGAAAACACGCCTAGGTTCCGACGGCAGCGCTCCTGCCAGGCAAGGGGGAGTTGCAAAAAATGGGTTGACAGCACAGCAAGTATGCTCGGAAATAGGCCGGGTGCATTTTTGCGCAGTTGTGCTAAACTGCCAGGCTTCGTTCCTTACAACCCAGTTGGTGAGAAGGAGCGCGGTGTATTCTCCATGTCTGCCTGAACGACCCCCCCCCCCCCCCCCCCCAAACAAGCCCCCCCCCCCCAAACAACCGCCCTTGAAAAGCAATCTGACATACGTCAAGCCTACCAGGAGATGCTGAAGTACGGCTTTCCAAAGACGCTGGGACCCTTCGCCCTGGTCCGCACGAAGAAGCTGGCCCTCTTCGTCGACCGCGCGCGGGCCTCGGAAAAGCCCAAAGAAGCCAAGGGCAAAGCCGTTGAAAAGAACAAAACGCGGCCCCAGGCCCTATAAACCCTCAACCCTAAAACCCCCCTGGCTCCCCCCAAAAAACACAAAAGAACAGCTGCATTCTACGCCAGCTGTATGTTGTAGGGGCTTTTCTCCAACTGCGCAGGAGAAGAAAACCTACAAGGCTGGGAAGTGAGAAGCCCCTTCTCCTGCCGACTCAGCTGGCTCCTGCCGCGAGGCGAAAGCTCCGCTGGAAGAGATCCGGCAGCTGGAAGCCAACGGCATGTCTGCAACAGGCTGCGACCGGTTTGCGGTTTAGGGTTTAGGGTTTAGGGTTGAGGGCTGAGGGTTGAGGGTTGAGGGTTGAGGGTTGAGGGGAGGGGGTTCCCACTGGAGCCAGGTTGTGACGCGTCAGGGGAAAGCTGCCAACAGCTGTGTTGGGCACTGCGCCACACCCCAACAACCCCAACAACATCAGGCACCATTGCCGCGCCATCACCGCTGACCTTGCCAGATCAGGCGTGGCGACTCTGCACATCTTCCCATCCGAAAGCTTGAGCTGGAGTCGAATGTTAAGGCAGTTTTTTGTAAAGTCTTCGTACATCTGAGAAAGGTTTAGATTCTTTAGATCTCTTCCGTACATCCCAGTACCGTGCAAGGTGAAGAAAGTGCTCGGCATTCCGATGGAGGCCGTTCAGCTCCTTGGCACCGCAAGCGTCCTTTCAGTTGTAGTTGGAGGTTTGCGAAAATGAGGGAGGCCTTAAAGAATGGACCTCGAATAGTAGCCTCATAATGAGGACCCAACACCATTTGCGTCTGTGTTCTCGCTCGCTCTCTCTCTCTCTCTTTCTTGTCTCTCTGCCCGTCATTTCTGTTGAGTTCAAAGGGTCTCGCACTCTTCATCTCTCACATGCTCGATGTCAGCAAGAGATCACGAAGTGGGAAGGTTCAAGAATATTCAGACATGTTCAGCATGTGGCTCAGGGATGCTCAGGACACTTTTGCAACCACCTGTGAGGTTCTGCTGGGCCTATCCTGTGGGTGGAGGAAAGTGGTCGGAGCAGGTACGTGCCATTAAGTTAAAAAGGCCCCAAATCGCGTTCTTCGAATGCACATCACACATTCTACTCTGGATTTCCGTTTGGAGGCTTTGGCGTACTTTTCGATTACGACCCCCAGCTCTGCCTTCTTCGTGTACGGGGGCTACATTTACTTCGACAAACATGGCAGGGTGGTGGCAATGCGCCTCGGATCCTAGCAGGAAGCCTTGTGCTGTACCAGCGAACAGACAGGGAAGAGTGTTGCCCGTCAATCTGCCCATCTGTCTGCCCCCCCCCTTCTTAATCTTTCCCTAGCTCTCTCTGTCTCGTTCTCTCCCTCCCTTTCTCTCTCTCTCTCCCTCCCTCTCTCTGTCTCGCTCTCTCCCTCCCTCTCTATGTCTCGCTCTCTCTCTTTCTCTCTCTCTCTCTCTCTCCCTCTCCCTCTTCTCCCTCTCCCTCTCCCTCTCCTTCTCCCTCTCCCTCTCCCTCTCCTTCTCCCTCTCCCTCTCTCCCTCTCCCTCTCCTTCTCCCTCTCCCTCTTCCTCTCCCTCTCCCCTCTCTCTCTCTCCCTCGCTGCCCTCCTCCTTCTCCTCTCCCCTCTCCCTCTCCCCTCTCCTCCCCTCTCCCCTCTCTCTCTCCCCCCTTCTCCCCCCCTCTCCCCCCCTCTCCCCCCCTCTCCTCCCCCCCGCTCTCTCCCCCCCTCTCCCCCCCTCCTCTCTCCCCCCCTCTCCCCCCCTCTCCACCCCCCCCTTTCCCCCCCTCCCCCCCCCTCCCCCTCCCTCTTCCCCCCCTCTCCCCCCCTCGCCCCCCCGCGCCCCCCCTCCTCCCCTCCTCTCCCCCCTCTCCCCTCTCCCCCCCTCTCCCCTCTCCCCTCTCTCCCCTCTCCCTTCTCCCCTCTCCCCTCTCCCCTCACTCCCCTCTCCCCTCTCCCCTCTCACCCTTCTCCCCTCTCCCCTCTACTCCTCCCCCTCTCTCCCCCTCTGCCCTCGCCCCTCCTCTCCCCCCCTCTCCCTCTCCCCCCCTCTCTCTCTCCCCCACTCTCCCTCCCTCCCCTCCCTCTCCCTCTCTCTCTCTCTCTGTCTCTTTTTCTCCCTCTTTCCCTCTCTCGCTTTCTCGAGGTGTGCCATCTCCCTTGGGAATGGCCTGCTCTTCGAGGAGGGCAAGCCTTGGGATCCACGTTTCTCTGCAGCCCTGGAGGGCCGCTGGGTGCGTGTCACCGTGCCCTACATCCTCGACAAAGGAGAGAGAGAGAGAGAGAGAGAGAGAGACAGAGACAGAGAGAGAGAGAGAGGAGAGAGAGAGAGAAGAACAGAGAGAAGTTGGACCTCGAAAGACAGGAAACAAGAAAGAAATGAAAGAAGGAAAGAAAGACAGAAAGAAAGAGAAAGAAAAACGACAACAACAAAGAAAGAAAGACATAAAGAAATAAAACAAGATAGAGAAAGAAACAAAAGATGGAGAAAGGAACAACAGATAGAGAAAGAAGCAAAAGGCGCCAGCGGAATCAACTGCTGCGTTTGCGGCAGGGGATACCCTGGCCGCCTGGCAGGGATGGCTTTCAGCCCCAAGAACCCCAAGGAGCTGCACTGGAGTACTCGTACAGTATGGAATCATGGTGTGGGGGGAGATGTGCCATTGCCATGGTGCAGTAAAGGAACTTCGGTGCACACAGAGACACACGAGAGAGAGAGAGAGAGAGAGAGAGAGAGAGGGAGAGAGGGAGCGCACCCTGCAAGTGCACAACAAGTCTGAGCGAGAGGCAGAAGGTTCGGGGAGCATGTGTCCAGGAGGGCGCCACTTCGCGTGGGTCAACGGCGGGGAGGTTCTACAGCCCCCATGCAAGGCCCACAAGCGTGAGCAGCTTGCAGACGAGGATCTGGAGATGTTTAGAGCTGTTTGTTGCAAGCCCTGCGCCTGCTTTCGAGAACAGGAGAACTTGATGAACCCCCCCTGGCATTGATCCAAGATCACCCTTGACCCTTGAACTCTAACAACACTCGAACGATGCATAAATTCCTCACAGGAAGTGCTCGGAGGTGAAGTGTGGCAGGTGCCGGCCTAAGAGCCACTTTTGGCGCGAAGTTGCCATGAGGATCGTCTAAAGATGCAATGAAATGTCTGAGTCTGTTGAGTGCTGCGCCTCCGAGCACTGAAGGTCCGTTTTTTGGGACCGAAGACTGAGGCACCTCCAAATGGTTGCTTCGTTTATCTCTTCAGCGAGTCCCCATCCCTTTCTGCCGGGCCCCGAGATGAGGATCAGGGTTACGACGGTTACGAAGCAGCGGCTGTTGAAGCAGCGAGGACGAGCGGGATGTGTACTTCCCAGTGGCCGGAGCAGGGCAGGGCCACAAGTGTTTTGGCCGCGTTGGCATCAGCGAAGAGGAGGCCCTATATGGCTGCCTTAGTCCCCCCTGGTTCTGAGAAGGGAATGACGGAATTAAGGCCCTATGTACTCCTTTAAAGTAGGGTATATACAGGGTCCTCATTCCCTACTAAGAACCAGCCAGTAGAGTCTGTCCGAGCAATCATGCATCCGGTGTCTGACCAGACTGTGAAGCAGCTCCGCCGTATGATTGGTGGGGCCGCTTGCCGGCCATGGTGTGCGACACTACACAAGCTCCTATGACTTCCGCGCTTTTCGTGACACACACTCAGGAGAAGGTATGCGAGGTCAGTGTCGGTAAGGTCATGAAGGCCCTTCAAGAGTGGGAAGCTTGTCAGCACGAGATGGAGCGCAGGGACACCGAAGAGCCATTGAAGATTCGGGGAAAGATGAGCCGCAAGAGTTGTTGTGAACTTCAACTTGGCTCTACCCAACTGCCTGAAGCAAGCAGCCTGTCCAAAAACCTGCCTGTGATCAGGATGCAAATCTTGATGGGAAGATCAGCGAGGATGAGATGACGACAGTCTTGAAGACTCTGAATCCAAAGATCTCCTCGGAAAGCATGCGCCGGTTGTTCTCACAAGCAGACCTCAACAAGGAGCATTGCCGGGTTTGCATCAAATCGTACAACTTTGGCATTCTTGTTTTTGTGGAGCGCAGCGGGGGGAAGCGTCCCAAATGGTTGCACAACATGAAAAGACAAGGAAGTCCGAGAAAGATCATCCCAGGTTTCTCCTGAAGATGCTCTTCTCACATCTTCTCGTGCTCCTCATGCCTCGGCTCTTCTCACATTCCTGTTAAGGCAAAGTAGGAGCTGCCCTTGAGGCAGAGCAAACATGAGCAAAGCAGTGTAGGAGCAGCAACGCTCAGAAGGCCGTACCCTGCTTCACAGCTGCCTGCTTCACAGCTGCAGGACGGATCAATTGATGTCGAAGAGCTTGTGAAGTGGCTCTGGCCAAGAGATTCAGAATGACGCGCGTAGCATGGTGCAGCTGCACTTCTTGAAGTTTTAATTCTGGCAGGCAGCCGCCGTGCTTGCTGTTGGTTGTCAAGCCAACATGCAGGTTTGCAGATGTACACAGCGGATCTATGCCGTGACCTCTGGGACATGGCACAGATGGGATTCGTGCCGCCACAGCCAGCTTCAGCAAGCCCGAAACCATGCAGCGGCGAAGATATTGAAAGTCGATAGAGACGAACAGGTCGTATGCTGCCCATATTTGTCACTCTGGCGGCGACCGCAAGGGACCCGGAAACTCGGGTCGTGCTCCAAGAGCTGTCCAGGCCCTCGAAGAGGTCCTTGGCTCCTTTCAGTGTGCTCCTTGCTCGCCGAAAACATGGACCTGAGATGGACAGACCTGTTTAAAGGCGACGGATACAGACTGACAAAGCATGTCCCGCGCCCAGATCCAACTTGTGCCTCGCCGTCTAGGTGCTTCTGACACCTGACCGTTCCATGTATGTGGCAACATGCTCACCTTTCAATTTCCATGAGGGAAGCAGAAGATGAGCAATGATTAGGGGTAGCTTGTGCCAGTGCTCAAGTTGATAAGGTTTCGCTACGAGTCAAGCCGATCCTGCAGCGCTCACTTGCACCAACCATGCCTGTTCATCTGCTCCCACTCATCACATCGGCAGGTTTTTTGGTACCCCTGTAGATGCCGAAGCCTAAACAACCTTCAGGATCTTCAGATTTTCAGACATCCCTTTGTCTTCAGACCACATGTCTTGCCTTGGCGCGCAGTGGCCTCCCATGGTGTTGCCTGATGCTACCCGGATGCAGACTGCTGGGAGTAGCTGATTCCTATCCCCTAAAGACTAAACCCTAAAGCCTAAATCCTAAACCCTAAACCCTGAACCCTAAACCCTAAACCCTCAACGCTAGTGAATTCCGAGTGGCTGAGGTGAATGTGGTCACCGTGGAAGCAGAGGAACTTGAGGTGCCATTCCAGAGCCCGGAAATTAGTCAGAGACCCCCCTTGCCCCTTTTGGGTAAATGGCACCACCCTAAAAATAGTATCTTCAGATCCCACCTGTCACCCTAGGATAAGAATTCTATCTTCAGATCTCAGCCCCCGGCCCTGGGACTCCAACCTTAAGATCTCAAGCCCGCTACCCCACACTATGACCCCAGCCCGACTGCCCAAATGCCTGAAACATCCTTTACACCAAGCCCTATAGCACCAACCACCAACACCGTGTACCCCACCTCGTGAAACCGCCGTAGTACCTACAAGCACTCACAAAAACCCACTAATCCACCAAGGCCACCACCCTTACCCTACCACTAAGAATCCCCAAACCTGTACCACCCTTAACAGGCAAAATTAGGTTCATAGAATCAGGAAGCAGGGGAGCTTCGGCATCATGTCAAACTTGCTGTTTTTATATTTATATTCGGGTATGTCTATCGGCTCTACTTTAGGTATTTCTTCGCTCATTACTTAATAGGAGAAAAATATCTTTTCATGTAATGGAGAAGTATATAGAAACGATGGAGGAAATTGAGGAAATTGAGAAGGTTGTAATACACGACACAAAGCTTAAAAGGTGTTGCACCGCTTCTTTAGAATTGCTTAAAGCAGTTCTTGAGTATTTGAAAAAATCTAAGAAAGGTTAATGAGCGACAGTCATAGGGAATCTAATGAAGGTGGCTTCACTTGAACACGGATGGGTTAAACTGTTTGCCCTGCAAGTGCAGAAGAAAGACTTTTCACAAAGAAACTAAGATAAACAATGAAGGTAAAACAATAATTGAAGACAGGAGCAGTTGGAAGATGGGAAGAGGAATAACCCCGATGAAAACGACATATTTAAAACAAGCTGACAAGATAATGAAGGTGTTGATACAGCTACCGCCGGATGGGGATCAAGAAAGCCCACTCCAGAAGAGAGGCTAGAAAAAGTGGAGGAGGATGTTGAAAGGATAGACAAAGATGTAAATATTTTGAAGAATATTTTAAATACTATGGATTAAAATCTCGTGTATATTGACAGGCCATCTTGGCATAAAAAAAGCCCCAATGAAAACAGAAGAAGGAAGTGAGCCAATGCCCCCGTGTGCCTAGCAGGTTCTACAGGTTCATAGGCAAACCATAAGAGTTTGGTAATGACATTAATTCGTAATTAGTTTCGTTAAATCTTAAGGAACCGGTTGCATGTAGAGCAATCGCGAGAGACGATAAGTCTCTCCCGGTGCAAATTTTCATAATATCGCATTATGAAAAAGTGTATATAATAATAATGCCAATAAAAGTAGATAAGGTATTAGTTGATTTTGAACCATATACTGAAACAAATAATATTGTTACTAGGAAGTGCTATCGTTGTAAGCAAGTCAAAGACATTGATTGTTTTAAGCATTGTATTTATTTCAATAGATGTGATAAATGTAACCCAGTTAAGAACATACAGAAAATATTACTAGACAAATGCGATGTATTACATAGCTTTAAAAATCAGGTCGTAGGTTACTATGGTTGTGATAAATGTTGCAAGTTAAGGAATTTGTTTGATGATTATATATTACCCTTTACTAAGCTAAACAAATACCCAGAATATGATGAAGTTCATGAAATAATGCGAAATGATGTTCAAAAGAAAGCTTATACACTGTAGTTACATATTGAAATGAAAACAATGTATATATGAGAACCTAGATACATTTGACTTCTATCAATGGCATCAGGAGAAAATGAATTATTGCAAAGATACCTTATGTGGTTATGATCATTATTATCAAAGAGTATATCATTTTTTCATTGCAATAATATATCATTTACAATATCGTGTAAACATAGAAAAACATTTACATTATGAATATTTACAAGCAACATCAGAGTTCTTAGATGAGATGATAGTTCAAAATTCAAAGTAGATAGTCTCCTCACCAACATAGTTATAGTGTAATTATAATACATAAGCAGTTATATATTTTATTTACAATGTAGTTAAAACCCTTAACCCTAAACCCTGAACCAAATTCTACAAGGACCCCCTTGCCTATTTAGGCTAATAATGCCACCTTAGAGATAATAGATGCGGTAATGGTTATTCCTAGAATTGTGTTGATAATGGGGTAGTAGTAGTGATATATCGGTGAAGTGTAGGGGGGACCCTAGGAATGATCATCTAATGGGTTGGCGGTGGCATTATTACCCAAAAGGGGCGAAGGGATCTCTGCCTAAATTCCCCTAGGGTCCCTTTTTCATTGTACTAAAATAGAACCCCCAAAACCCGAGTCTAATGATTCAGGCCCCTAAGCTATGGCCCCGTTTCTAGGTGTACTATAAGCACCCCCAAAAACCTATTCTGATGACTCAGGCCCCTACATTACCACTTACAACCCCCAAAAACCCTATTCTAATGACTCAGGCCCCTATATGAGGATTTTTTTGGGCTGCTCGGAGGAAGGCGTGCTTCCACAAGCTGCGCTACTCAGCGCTGGCCTAAGGCCCTTGGAGTCATGGGCGGAGCTCGAGGGCTAAGCCCTAAACCCTAAGCCCTCAGCCCTAAGCCTTAAACCCTAAACCCTAAACCCCAAACCCTAAACCCGAAACTCGAAACTCCAAACCCCACACCCTAAACCCTAAACCCTAAACCCTGACCTTTAAACCTCAGGCCTTACTGGACCTGGTTGCGCGCTGAGGTCTCCGCGGTGTGCTTCCTTGTGGCGACGTCAGGCAAGATGTCCTTCTTCAAGTCAAAGTACACACATCTGATTCTCTGTCCATCTATCGCAACAAATGTCATGCAGTGTATCGCAATGTGATCACGGTGACTTCTACAAGGTATGCGTGTATGTACGCAAGTAAGTACGTATGGAAGTATGGAAGTATGGAATCATGTAAGAATGTAAGTATGTAAGTATGGAAGTATGTAAGTCTGTATGTACGTATGTACGTATGCACGTATGCTTGATGCTCCAGGCATGTGTCGTGCCTTTGCGGCTCCCCGGCCGGAGGAAGCTCCGCAGGACACTCATTGAGCGCGCAGAAGCTGCAACCGCTTGTGTCCGAATGCATGAGAAGAGATGCTTTCACGACATCGGAGTAAGGTATGCGCAAGTCATTCGGACTTTGGGCGACGCCAGCAACTGGCAGGACAAGCCCACAGCCGCCAGGTTATTTGACATGGCAAAAGATTTGAACGAGAGATGAGCATGCATGCGGCCCATGCTCAAGTTTTTCACTTGGTCTGCCGTGGGTCAACATGCACATGGGATAGCAGTTCTGACAGTTTGCAGCATACAGCTTCCTTTTCATTTTCAGCTTTCGTATTCACCATCTCTCCTCGCCTTGTCTTTCCATTGCAAACAAACATAGGGCCACGACCTCCTCGGCACGTATAGCGGATGCCCTCACTCCCTGTATCATGAGATCTCTCTTCCTTTCCTCTGGCTGCTCTCTGTCTATCTCTCTCTCTCTCTCTCTGTCGTTTTCGTCTGTCTTTATCTCGCGTAATCAGGATGCCCTGGAGCTCCTGGCCGACATGTGCCAGTTGGATCCAAAGGTGGTCAGCGGCCCAGTTTTTCAAGACCAAGGGAGCTGGTGACATGTTCGTGTCATTCCCATGCTGCGAGATACCGCGGGACATTTCCGAGTCGTGTTGTGCTTTGAGGCTCTCAACTCAGCCACCTTTACTGCAGCAGTTGCCGCGTGCGGCAGCGCAGCGCAGTGGTTGCAGGCACGGCATCGTAGCCTTGTAGCCACAGGAAAGACCAGCTCCTCAGAGTGTCGTGTGTCGCAGTGTTGCAGGTCAGTGTGTTGCTCGAAGAAGCCAGAAGAAAAAACATCGAGTGTCCTCCTTGGAGTTCAAGTTGTGCTGATGCGTTGTGTGGTTAGAAAGCCGACTGGACGTGCAGGACATTCATCCCTAACTCAAAATGCTCCAACACCATGACACCCAAAACATTATACGAAAGCGACACTGCGCAAACTCAAATGGGCAATGAACATCGAGGTCTGACCTCGAAATGTCTCAAGCCGCGCTGGCGGCCTACGCTGCGGGCCTCGCTTGGGCTCAGGAAGCGGCCTCAGTGGAGCGATTTGGTGGACGGGGATTGCGCTGCTTTAGATCTCAATCTTTGACGGAGGGCTAAGTGTTTCTGCATAGGGTAGGGAGCCGACAGATGCCGACAGGTTTAGGTCTTACATGGTATTCTAGGAATCGGGGACTTTGAGGGAGGTTCAGGGTTTCTTGCGCTTGGAGCTGAGGCAGTTCATCTCTTCGCGGAGGCCAGAGAGTTCCGAAGGGATTCCCATCCACAGCTTTTTTGGCGGATGGGGGTTTCCGAAAAGAGGGGCACCATATTGGGGTCCTTGTTAGAAGGGGATCCTACGATTTGGGGGTCTATTGTGGGGTCCCTACTTTCGTAAACCCCCCTAAACCCTAAACCCTAAACCCTAAACCCTAAACCCTAAACCCTAAACCCTAAACCCTAAACCCTAAACCCTAAACCCTAAACTCCAAACCCAGATGGGCCTCTGTGTGAGGCAAAGATGCCCCAGTTGCAGCCCACCGTGGTGGAGCCCTCAGCGGAGAGTCGAGCAGAATCGCCAGCCGTGGCAGCCATGACATTACGATTGTTATTATTCTTATTACTATTATGATTACTATTATTATTGTTATTATTATGATTATTGTTATTATTATTATTATTATTATTATTATTAGTATTATTATTTTATTATTATTATTATTATTATTATTATCATCATTACTATTATTGTTAGTTTTATTTTCTTAGGATTATTAGTGTTGTTAGTAATTTAGTATAAGGGCATGATGTTCATCGGTTATATGAAGCCAACATTTGAAGCTCATATAGGGATTGACGTGCCGCACGCCATTGAAGCTGATCGTTGCCCCTAGTGAGTTTACAGTGGCTTGCAAGGCCAGAAAGGAAGCTTTGCAGTTCAGTTTCCAGTCCGCTTCGTACATCTGCCAATATGCTACACCACAGAGCACGCTTCTTCAAAAGCCAGCAGTCCGAGCCACAACAGACGGCCCTGCCATGTTTCGTGGGCTTCGGCTCTGCAGATACTCGCACCTCACAGCCCGAGTGGCCGAGGTTGCGGGTTTCTCTGGGATAGCAAGACCTTCTTGGCTTGCACCCTTAGGAAGCTTCAAGCGGGGCTTCGCCCAAGGGGAGGGTGAGTCCACTGAAGGTGCAGAGAGCCCGAAGTCGGTGGTCCTTTCGAAGCGCCTACCAGAAGACTTCATTGAGAACACGCTCCGTCCACATCTTGAGAGCCAGCTGCTGGACAACATTCATGTCTACACTCCTGCCGAGCTGACGCAGATAGCGAAAGCCTACTCCGTGCAGGACATCCGGCAGCGCGCCCTTTGCCAGAAGCTGTCGGACACCATGAAGTTCCGAATCAAGGGCTTCGAGGCGATCGATGTGGTGGACGCCCTGGGCCCGATGTGGATCATGACGCCGGACGACGATGAGTTGTTCGAGGTGCTGGAGCAGCGAATCTACGAGAAGATCGATGACTTTACGGCCCTGAACTTCATGGGTATCGTCCGGATCTACAACAAGCGAGCATCCAAGCACCATGACCTCCTGAGCAAAGTCATCCCAAGGTTAAAGGAGCTCCTGGGAACCTATGAAGGTGTGGAGCTTTCTGAGATGCTGGTCTCCATGGCGCAGGCTGCTGAGGCGGCGGCGGACATGGACATCCTCATGACTTTGGTGCCCGAGATCGAGAGGCGCTACAACGACGTGTCGTTGCTCCACTCCATCAACAACGTCTGGGCGCTCACGCAGATGAAGATCAACCACCCAGGCCTCTTGAAGCGTGTCGCTGAGGATGTCTGCACCGCCCACAAGATCAAGGATCTCACCCCCAGCTACATGGCCCGGCTCGTCTGGGTGTACCGGCGCTGTGGGACGGAGGCTTGGGAGATGGTGAAAGGCTCTCTGCTACCGCTGATTCGCGGCGCTGCCGCCGAGTTCCGGGCCGGAGAGTTCGCCCGCATGGCCCAGGCGCTCCCGGAAGAGCGGCAGTTCCTCAGTCGGGTGGCTGGCAACTTGCGCCTCACTCTTCCTGAGATGGGTCGCAAGGACTTCCTCCTCTACCTGTTGGGCTGTATCCATGGTGAGGTGTTGGAGGACAGACCAGATGCCGGTCAGGACTTTGGTGAAATTACTGCCTCATGCATGAACTACATCAAAGATGAGCAGGACAATTTCAACAGAGAGGAAGTCCAGAAGATCATCTATCTTCTTCACTTCTCCCCGAAGTACCACTACCTGGTCGAGGAGATGCCGGCGTCCTGGAATGCCACCAAGGAGGAGACCCTGGACTTCATTCGCGCGAAGGGCAAGTCACGTCACGGATGAGCCCCGCCTTGCGCAGCAAAAGCGCAATGGCCACATGTGCACCCTTGCTGGCTAGGAATGGCCCAAATCCCCAAAGCCCAGAAGCAGGCAAAGGTGGCAAGCCAAGCTGACTGTGTTTAGGCAGTTTGAGTCGCTGTGCACATGACAACTGTCAGCGCTGACAGAGAGTGAACTTCCTGCAGCCACGGCTCGGACTGAAGTTTGGCCATGGCTGCGTGCTGAGAAGCTTTATCTTTACGTCAGGTGCCTTTGAACCAATCTGCATGCCTGCAAAACCTGTATACCTGTATACCTGTGCATTTTGTTGCATGTTGTGCCATTCTTTCCGGCTGTCTGCTACTGCAGGTCCATGCACAAGGGCTACAACTCCTGTGAGGGAGCATCTTTACTTGTTGGCCAGGTATTAGATGAGTTGCCCTTGGGTTTCTTCCATATTGGCCATGCCCTCTGGGCAACGACTGCAATGGCCATCTTCGCAATCCACGCGGAGTTGACGCCGTACATGTTTCCAGGCCTACAGCTACATTTCGGTGCACGGCTAAGTTGTGACATGCATGGTAGTATCCGGCCGGTGGCAGCAAGGCTACAAAAGAGAAGCCCAAACACAGCTCTTGCACGTTCAGGTGCAGACAAGGAGGAGCTCTCCACTTATGCAGCTGCATTTCAAGCGGGATGTGCTTTCGGGGCACTGGTCGCGCCAGTGTTGGCCGACAAGCTGGGCCGCAAACCCACTCTGGTCTTTGGCAGCATCGTGACAACGCTCCTGAACTACGGTGCCACCTTTGCAAGCTCCCTCAACATGTTCCTGGGCCAAGCACAACTCTTTAGGGGCAGAGGGCAGATGGTTCCGGGGAGGTTTCGGGCAGCTTTACCATTGTTACCATCTCGGCTCAGTTCAGGATTCTGGTCCTCAGAACTTTGAGCTCTGCGAGCTTCGCCATCGCCTACGCGGCTCTGGGCCCATGGTATGTTGAGCACCTTGGGTTCAACGCACAGATCCAAGGCCCAAGAGCTAAGTGGCCTGTGAAATCTTGCAATTACAGAGCACCCTGACACAAAAGGTTCCTTCCAACAAGGGCTCGCGGGGCGTTGCTGGCTGCAATCGCGCTAGGATGGCCTGCAGGACTCGGGGTTTCAACCACAGAATCACCCTGGTAGCTCCCGATGAACCAAGTTGTGCTGGGTCAAGACGTGAGCTTGCTTCCTGTCGGAGTCCCGGTGGTTCCCATGGTGATGCTTGTGCTTTGACATGTATTGTTCATGTTGCTGCATGTGATGCCTTTGGCCTCCTTTGGGGCCTCCTTTGGCCTCCTTTGGCCATCTTAGAGGACGAGCCATTGTGATCATAAGTTCCGACTTCTTCAACGATGACTGGCAGAAGATGCAGCTGCTATCTGCAGTGTCCATGGGAATTTTAGTTCTCGGCACTACCCTGATCTATGAGTCACCCCGCTATCTGCTGGCCATGGGCAGGATCGAAGAGGCACACGTGACGGCAGGGGTTGGTATATATGTGTACGTGTACGTGTACGTGTACTTGTGTGTACGTGTATGTGTATGTCTATGTCTCTGTCTGTGTCTCTGTCTCTGTCTGTGTCTCTGTGTGTGTGTGTGTGTGTGTGTTCGTGTGTTCTGTGTGTGCGTGTCCCCCTAAACCCTAAGCCCTTAAAGCCCCCGAGTCCTCCCCAGGCTCGAGCTGTGATCGCTGACCTGCACCGCAAAAGCGGCCGGAGATGGTCCTCGGATTGCCGGCTTTGCCTCGACTCGGAGCCCCTAGCGGATCAGAGGCGCCGCTTTTAGGCTTTAGGGTTTAGGGCTTAGGCTAGTTTGGGGGTTTAGATGGGTTTAGCTGGGCTTAGATGGGCTTAGGAGCTTAGGGGCCCCGACACCCCTGGCTTCGTTTTTTTTTTTTTTGGGGGGCTTCTCGTCGGTGTACTTCGGGGAGGCAAAGGGTTGAATAGGTTGAAGCTGCAAGCAGGGTTGTTTAGGGTTTAGAGGGGGTTGGGCTCAGGTCGCGCGTAGATCCTAAACCCCCTAAACCCCCTAAACCCCCTAAACCCCCTAAACCCCCTAAACCCCCTAAACCCCCCAAACCCCCTAAACCCCCTAAACCCCCTAAAGCATAAAACTCTAAACCTCTCCAGGAGCTGGCAGGAGCTCTTCTCCGGGGAGTATCTTCCTAGGATGCGCTTCTCTTTGTGCCTGGGCTTGCGCAGCACTTTTTCTAGTGCAGATTCGGGTTTTGGCTTTTGTGTGTGTGTGTGTGCGCGCACTTTTTCGGGTTTATCGGTTTGGGGCTTATTCATGTTCTGTGCTTTAGGCTTTGGGATGCCAGGGTTTAGCTTGATTTTTGGGTTCCTCCTGTAAGCCTTAAGCCCTATGCACGAACTCCGAGCGGTGTGTGGGGCCAGTGCTGCTTGATGTTTGCTCCCGGTGCTGGGTTCGCAATGTTTGCTTCTTGGGTGCCCTCGTGCTTGTATGTGTTGGGTTCGTCAACTGCCCGGTGGGGCCTCGCACTGTACAACGTGCGCGGCTGCTTGGCCTCGCACTTTACATGCGCTGATGCTTGTTGCTTTGGGAAGGGGTTGTTTACGCTCATGCGGTGCTGTGGGCCGGCCTGAGCACAAGATGCCTATGCTGTTGCGGTGCCGTTGGGGATGCCTGAGCCGTGTTCCCGATGTTGTGTTACGGTCAGCCAGGCTGCTCTTTGCTCTTTCACGTGACCTAAAGATCCACCCTCTCCTCCCATGCCAAGCAATTAATCAGGTTTACGGAACCTGGACACTCGGCCCTCCCCCTAGGTGCCACTCACGCACTCATTCACGTTTTGGCAGGAATCTGGTACAAGATGCAGGGTCCCCGAAAGGTACCGCAACGCAAAGGAATCTACTCCACTGTGCTAGACAAAGTGGGGAGATCAAACTATGTACGCATGGGCCCTCCAACGGAGATCAGAGACCTAGCTCATCACAAAACACGAAAGGAGCTCACGCAGAATGCTCTCAGTGGGCCACGTCGTGCGAGCTCAGCACAACGCCTCAGCGACAAATCATCCGAAGACACAGAAGCCAACCGGAGACGAAACCACGGCGTTTGGCGCACGACCCTGTCCAGCAGGGAGGCGCTGTCGGCAGAGGCCAGCAAAAGACAGTCTCTCTGTCTAACCAAACCAAAACAAGGGCACGTCCGCACCCAATGAGACGTCGTAGCACTGGATCACAAAGAGTGACACAGCACAGGAGCAAAGCCTCCGCGAAGAGGAGGATACCAAATTTGCGGCGATCTCCGTGAACCCGAGCCACCAGAGCCATCACCATTCCAGCAGAGAGCGCCAAGCACCACAGAGGCGAAGAAGCGGGTAGCCAATTGGCGGCCAGTCTGCCAGTGCAAGATGCAGCCCAACCAGCACCAGACCAATTATGCCGTCCAAAGAAGGTGGCGGCCGCCATCGTTCAACTCCTAAGCCCCGTGAAGTCCAACTACTGCCATCAGGAACAGCACGATGACCACGAGCCCCGCCAACTTGTAGGCAAAGAGAATCCATGGCTCATGGCCAGGTGCCATTAGAGCACAGAGCAGCCTCTGTTTATAGGGAGGTGCTCATATCTGACAGATCATCATGACATGATGACCCTAACCAGCCAAAATCACCCCTTCCATCATGCACCAATCATGGCGCCACAGGCCAGTTATTCTTAGCACCCCTCCCTAAACGCCTCACCCTTGACCACGCGGAGGTGGCACTTGAGCCAAGGGCTTCACGCTCTAAACACAAATCCCCATTAACTCATAAGCCCGAAGCACTCTACCTCAGGATTCTGTTCTCCCTGCTTTCGATGACGACGGTCTTGATCGACACCTGGGGTCCCATGCTATTTCAGAATCTCATGTTCCCGGAGGACAATGTGTCTCGATCTCAAAGCTAATCCATGCGACGGGGTCTCTGGGTCGCCCCAAAAAAACGCCCATATGCCATGTCGATCTTTTTTTGCTTTGGTTCTTGAAGCTGTTCTGGATACCTTCGTTTAGCAGCTGGAAGGCTTTGCCTCGGGCGCTGCTCATGATCTTCAACGTGGGAGACTTCTGCGGGCTGGACTGGATCTCGGGACAAGTTTGGTTTTTTTTTCAGCAGTTCAGGGATTCAGGGCGACAGTCTTTACACCCTCTCTGAGATCATGTCCATCCTCTTCATCGACCTCATCGGCAGACGGGGAAGCTTTGTTGTAGGCGCCAGGGGGGAACACGGACTCTGCTTTCCATGGCCGAAAGAAAACCGCGGGCCAAGCAATGTAGCTTGTCGAGGCTTCTTCTTTCAAGGAGTTCTGCTCTTATGCTTGGCAGGCAAGCTGGGAGCACTCCTCGCCTGAGATTCATGACCGCTCTCTGCAGTGCTCTGTGTAAAAATGTGTCTCAGGAACCCATACCTTGAAAGATGACGTGTGCCTCTACTTGCAGTCGATCTTGGGCGCGAAGCTTGATTGGAGATAGTGAAGGGCCCCCCGAAAAATGTTTGAGCAAGAAGTGTTGCTCTAGCATGGCTGCTGGAATCGGAGTTCATGTGCAGCATGAACGAGGATCTCTGCTTCCTGCCGTGGGTTTGCGTGGGAGGCTGGAGGGCCTTTTCCTCGTTATTGGACGTGTTCTCTTGCCAATTCCTGAAGTGGAGACCAGGGAGCGATTATGTGGGCCTTGGAGGCTTCTTGGCTGCATCCTCTGAGAGAAGTAGAGCCAGGGAGCTCAGCCAAATCCGAAGGCCTTCCCCACATCGCTGCGTGCGGCGGCGATCTCGCTGTCAAGGGTTGTCATGCACTCCATGGCGATCATCAGCCTCAAGGACAGGCTTAACTTCAGCAAGCATTCCAAAAACGCTGTTAATCCATACAAGCCATCCCCCAACTTCAGGAAATGCCCTTCCACCCCAGGCAGCCTTAGATCTTGCAATCGAGGCAGCGCAGGCCCCCCTCCCCCCCCGAAAGACGTCCGCGCGCAGGCGTCAGCTCAGTGCCTCTCCTCGCTACCCGCCTTCATGTGGCTGCGACTCCTGGGATGCACCTCGCTTGCCGCGGGGGTCGCTGGGCCGAGAATCAAGACTCCTGGGAATGGCTGGGGTTTGGGGGGATGTTTAGGATGAACCCTGAACCCTAAACCCTGAGCCCAAAACCCTAAACCCTAAACCCTAAGCCCGAAACCCTATTTGAGAGTCTTGAGGTCATCGTGCTTATCTGCAACCCGACGGAGAGCGCGGGAAGGCCCCTCACCGAAGGCTCCCCCGAGGTGCAGCCGGCCTGCCAGGCTTAGAGACTCCCGCTCTCTGGCGCTGAGAAAAACAGGGTGCCGCAATTCTGCCAGTGCAACAGGGGGTTAGGGTTTATGGTTTAGGATTTAGGGTTCAGGGTTCAGGGTCTAGGGTTTAGGGTTTAGGGTTTAGGATTTAAGCGGGCAGCACCTGGTTGTGTTTGTGGAGGGACATGCTTGTGTAGCAGACATGGATCACAGGCTTAAGGTGCAAAGAACATAAAGAACGTCCAAGCATGGCATAGGCCCATTATGGGTCCTTCTTGAATTCAAGTCAAGTATCCCCGCAATCCCCCGGGGGAGCTCGCAAATGGACCTCATTGACTTTGCCAATGGGCAGCCGGCTGCTGAAGAGCTCCCAAATGACATTGTTCGACAGGTGCGCAGGGTTTGAGAAAGCAATCGGAAGCAACGGAAAGTATCTCCTCCAGCCACCATTTCCCAACGCAGTGCCGTGACAGGCGTGCCAAGAGCTCTTTGCCGATCCTGAGACATCCGAGCCAAACAAGCGCCGAAGGCTTGAAAATGCGACAGCGGCGAGCTGTCCAAGCTCAGAATCTCGGTGCCTCCTCATGCCTGCTTTTGAGTTTGAGAGTTTCTTCTCCTAACCAGATGGGCAGCTGTACCATTAAGCCTCAGTAGCGTCAGCGCAGGGTCCCTTAGAGTACGGCGACTTCACTTCTCAGTTCCGTTACGAGCTGTCGGAGTTCTTGGGACGACAGGACCCCTCCCGACATGGCCGTGGCCCTGATCCCGCACGTCTCCTGCTAACAGCCGGTGTGTCACAGGCACTGGACATGCTGTGCACCATGTTGGCAGATCACCAGCACAAGCAGGACGTGATTCTCGTTGAAAGCCCCACCTATTTCCTGGCGCCCAACATCTTTCGAAACCACGGGCTGGAAGTTGTTGCAGTGGAGACGGATAGCGAGGGCATCGTGATACAGTCCCTCCTGGACGTTCTGCAGAAGCTCCAGCTAAGTGGCCGAAGCGCCCGCATGCTGTACACCATCCCGGTTCATCACAATCCCACGGGGCGAACCATGCCTATGGAGCGCCGTGAAGCCCTTGTGGGTGTCGCCAAGAAGCACGGCATTCTGGTCATTGCCGATGAGGTGTATACCCTCCTAAGCTACGGTGCATCATCTCCGCCACCCACCATGGCAACTCTTGGGGACGATGTGCTGTCCTTGGGAAGTTTCTCAAAAATTCTCGCGCCAGGGCTTCGAGTCGGCTGGATCGAGGGCTCCCCGGAGAGACTCGAACGATTGAGCCAATGGGGTGTGATCGACAGTGGTGGCCATTTGAGCCACTTTTCTTCCTGCGTTGTTGCCACGGCCATGAAGTCCCGAGTCTTGGACTCCCACTTGGAACGGCTCCGCAGCGTCTACTGGGAACGCTGCCAGTCCTTGGTGGAGGCGCTGACATCCTTGCTGCCTGAGGGCTGTATCGTGACGAAGCCTCAAGGCGGCTATTTCGTGTGGGTGCAACTTCCCCAACATGTAAATGCAAGGGAGATGGCATCGCAGTCCCACGAGTTTGGCTTTCTTGTCAAGCCTGGACACCTCTTCACGTGCCTGGATGCCGACAAAGACAACTGCTTGCGCCTGTGCTTTGCCAGGCTGCAGCCTGTGCAGCTATCTGAAGGAGTGAGGCGTCTGGCTGCCGCGATTCAGCGCATGAGCGGATCGTGTGACGTTCCAGCAGAAAAAAGCAAGCACGATCCGCGAAAGCTAGCCGGCATCATGCACTCAAGATGCGTACCCTTGGTGTAGAAGTCAGGAGTGCGCAGGAGCGAGACCCCAACATGACCTTGCTATGCCGAGGTTGAGATATGCGCCCGAGCACAGCAAGTAGAGCGGGTGGGAGACCCACTCATCTTGTGCTTGCCAGCCACGCCGCGCTTGCATACAGGAACCATGCCCTCATGTTGGTCTGCTTTTCCATCTTGAGGCTTGCTCTCCAGCCTTCGGAACGCCATCCAAACACTAAAAAAACACCACGAGAGAGCAGCTCGTATTGGGTGACGTCCTACCTCTAAGGCCTTGCAGCTGGCCCCTGCAAAGCTCGGGGAGTCCAAACTGGGCCGGGGCCCCTAGATATTCCGAGGAGTGAGCGGCCTTTCCCTGACCATCCCTGAACATCCTTCAACATCCCTGAGCCCTGCACCCTAAGACGCTTCATGCTCGTAAAGCCCGCAGGTTGCGGACTGGTGACGGCCTTCGCTGCCGCACAGGCTTGGGAGATAGCGCCGGGCGCCTATGGATGCTGAGAACTTCGCATGGCTTAGGAAACCAAGGAAGCAACCAGGGATGGTCCCAGAAATTCCCTCCCACCCCCCTTCCCCCGCCCCCCTGTCCCCGCCTACCCCAAGAGTCCAGTATTTGGGGTTGAGGGGAACTCCTCAAACGGGTTGCCCTCTGAACTCACGACATGGAGAAGTAGTGACAAGATCTTCTTTCCGCGAGGCAAACTTTTGTTTACGCCAAGAGTTGAGTTCCTTCTGGTTTTATATACGCTTGCAGTGTTGTGCATGGGCAACTCTAGCAAACACTCCAGGTTGGAGTACCTCTTGCGTGTGCGAGGCGTGCTGTCTGAGGGTGTTGTGAGTTTGGATGTTCATGTCAAGACAGCCTCTGATCCATGACTGCCAGGAGAAGGGCTCGAATTGACTGCGGACACTGTTGCGGAGGTCATGTCATCCTGCGATGCAGGCAGCTTGCAGGGCAAGTGGTCGTGCGTTCAAGCCCATCTTGCCATGTTGAAAAAAAGTAAGTGCGCACAACTCGGCAAAAAGCATTTTTCGTTTCAGCATAAAGGTTTGTTTGCAGGTATCGAAAACACTACAAGATGTCGCCATCTCTTCGTGCAAATGCATTTTCCCCCGGCTGACACGCTTTTCACAGGCTTTTTGTCTGAAGTCTTGCAGCTTTTTTTCCAGAAACTAGGATACAGGCGTGGGCGGTTGATGCAAGTCGTTGTCACCATGGTGCAGGCACTTTTTCTTCGAGCTTCGGTTGATTTGAGGGGATTTGGGTTAAACAGGTCAAAACATAGCGCGCGTCCTAGTTTTAGATGTGCGGGGTATGTTGTGCATAAATACAGCATTTGTAGTACGTGACCCCCGAAGTAGAAGTCAGGTTTAGCATGGTTGTACTGCATGTGCAAACAACCATGGGCAATGCTTCGTGGTCTCGTTTCTCAAGCAGGTTCATGTTGCGAATGAAGAGTCTGATATCAGAGCTCAGGTACGTGTTAGTATATGTTAGTAGGCACAGACAGCATAAGCCAGGTTGTAGTTGTACTTGCCTTGAAGCATCTTTCGTGGCGATCAGACCCTGCCAGCGGCAGGCGACTCTTCCTACCAATCTTCGCTTCTTGAGGTCTCATCTTCATGGGTGTGCATTCTGGATGGGTGCCAGAAAAGGCATGGCACAGCACCATTCGATTGGCAGATGAAGCTCATGGACGGTGGTCCGCAGCAACGACTATGCTCTGCCAGGGTTTGCTACCGGCAGTGGCCACGCTCCACGGCATGGGATTCATTGACTTGGATTCGTTGGTGGCTTCGGTGTGGCTGGAACTCTACTCTTGGCCGGCTGCTCACTGGGCAATGATTGAAGCCCTTGTTGCCGCGCTGGCATTTTTTGGCTGGATATCCCTGTTCTTCATTCTCAACGAGATTCCCTCAGTGAAGCCTTTCCGGATGGTAGTTCGAGCGGAGTCACATCCTCTCAATGCCCACTGTCTGACCCTCGGATCTTACAGCAGGGTCTATGCCTCCTTGCCACTGTACCTTGGAGGAGTCTTTGCACTTCACTGCGTCAAGGCTGCGGGCAAAGTTCCGGAGGATCCTCCTACGGCCTTCCGGCTTTTCACGGAGCTTTGCCTGGGCATTGTGGCCTATGACTTCATCTTCTACTGGATCCACCTAGCCATGCACAAGTTCCCCAACTCCTGGCACAAGCACGAGACCCATCATGAGCTCAAAGTGCATCCGGTTTGCGGCACGAGCTTCTTAGGAGTCGAGCTCGTGGTGAACCATTCGCTGGAAGACGCGCTCATGCAGGTGTGCTGTCCAACAGAAACCCCTTTAAAGAAACACATGCGGCATGCATTCGTGAGGGTGGCTGGTCAACCCCACCCGAAGCCACCCTGAACTACCCTAAACTACCCTAAGGTGCTGACCAACATCTTGGTTCAGAATCTGCCCCTTTTCGGTGGGCTGCCCAAGCACAAGTTGAGTCGCCTTCTTCACAACGTGCTGGTGACCTACCTTCTTTCAGAAGCACATTCTGGTTTAGATCTCCCATGGTCTATGCACAGACTTCTCCCCGGGATCTATGGTGGCGCGTACCGGCATGAGTTTCATCACCAGAGAAGAGATTGCTGCTTCCATCAGTTCTTCTGCTACCTGGACGACTTGTTGGGCTATGGGCCTCCGAAGAAGCCGACACTTAAGTAGACTTTTGAAGCTGGCACAGTGGTGGCGTGTGAAGTTTGAGAGGCTGCTGGAAGAAACGGAGTCGCGTTGTGGTTGTCCTGAGCTTGTCAGCACATGTTGTGATGAGTGTCCAGCGGCCAGAAATTTTTCGGGACTTTGTGCCGCCATCATTGTGCCACCCACGTGCGGCTGGCCAAGCCAGACGTCGTGGCCACGGCCCTGAACTTTCGAGTCCAAGATGTTTCTCCAATCATTCCACAGGTTTTCTGCCCCAGACAGTGGAACGGAGCATCAACGCAGGAACGTGCTGCGCAGGGGCCGTGGCAAATTAGCGTATCAACGTCAGCACTGCGATGACTTCGCATGTTGCGTTACCTGCTGCAATGGCAGCTCGCAGACGGTGTTTATGACGTGCACCTTAGCCGCAGTGCCCCGGATGCGTAGCTTGAAGTGCCGACGGGTGGGTGAACAATTGTGATGGAACATGAAGTCATCAACTCGCTCCAAACATTGGGCATGTTCAAGTTCATTACTGTACGAAAAACCCACTGCAGTCTGGTGGACCAGGGTGTTGCGGACGGAACAGACTGCAGGGCTTCTTCATGCTCTTGGCTTGTGTTTCTTCAAGTGGGTGGGAGTTGGTTCCAGCACTCGGTTGGAACGCGTGGCAGTTGCACAGTGCGCTGCCCCGCACTGCTCAGGCGGCATGGCCAAAGTCAAGGCTCCTTGGAGAGCTACCGAAAAGCGAACAGCCACATTTCGTGGCAGTCGCCATCAGTCAGGTCGTGGCTCTCCTATGGCTGGCCCGACAGTCTGGTGCCGGGACTCGGCACTCAATGCTCATGACAGGGCGCAACATGAAGCTAGTACCAACTGGTCCGAGGAGTGGAGCCGAATGCCAGGCTCTTCCGAACTGCTTTGGGTGCCTGCGACGCGCGACTCTGGGCCGGAAGCCTGTGAAGTGAAGAGTCGTTGGGTATGCGTGAATTGTCTAAAGCCTTTAGTTCCGCTGGGGAGAGCTGTCAACATTCAGCATGAGGCTGGCGCTGTCAGCCTGCTGGCCGACATGGAGGCTTGCATGAGCGGGGGTGGGGAGTTTCCTCTGTGCAGCCCTATCTTCGGAGATGGCGCAAGGAAGCAGGTATCAGCCCCGTCCTGGCTGACATGGACGCTGCAATCCAGGCTGCTTTCTTTTGGCTGGGAAGCTGATCCGAAAAGATCCGAGAGGGGGCAGTGACAGGTTGTTGCTGCTGCTCAGGAAGAGGCCCAGCTTCATGAGCAAGACGGCTTTAAGAACTTTCGAGAATCAAGGAAGCTGATTTTTGTCAGGCTCGTCGGGGCAGAACTCTGAAAGAGAAGCAGGAGATCTCTGTTCGGAATGCCATCGCCTCAGGGCTTTCGACTCATCGGGCCGCCCTTAAGCCCACCATGAGAGCAGTCAAAGCCCTCAAGGTCCAGAGGGCCAGGATTGCGGCACCGGCACATGGGCCTCGCAATCCGAGGCTCTGGCCTCTGTGGATGCTGTGTGAGATTGTGTGGCGACTGCTTCCAGGAAAGTCTGGTTTCAGAAGCCCACTGAGGCTGAACTTTCCGCCAGTGGTCGTGAGAAGCTGAGACGACGACGAGACATGGCAACAACAGCATGTCCTTATGCTGTTAACAAAGGCTACTTGGAGGTTCATGGCATTCAGTAACCCAATAAACACCGTACTTGCAACCCAATGATAAGCCTTATTGGGGTACTTCAGGGGCTTCTAAGTGGGTTAGAGCAACACCACTTAGAGCTGGGTTACTAAGTACCCTCTGAACCTCCAAGTAGTCGGTCAGAGACGCCCATCGAAGCTTCTGCCGAGGTCGAGTCCACTCCGGTGGCCAAGGAGGCCGAGGCTCCCAGCCTGCGTGAGAGGTTGCGGCCCGGACTCGCTGATGCCCAGGGCCCAGCCCTTGAGACTTTCGATTCCTCTCCGCCTCGAATTGGACTTTTTGTTAATCTTTCTGCACTTGATTTTTGGGTTGTTGCCGCCTCTTCAGGTTTTCGCAAGCGAGCGTCCCCGAAGCAACCTACCCTGGAGCGGCGGGGGCCCCTGGAGTCCGCCGCCCAGCAATTGAGACCTTCTTGGTGGACCACACCTCTTTCCTCCTCTTTCGTCGTTTTGTGTCCCGCAGCAATTCTCCGAGGAAGGTGGGAGATGGCTTGCATCCCAGACCTGCGTAATGGCGTAACGTGTGGAAGACCAAATGGAACTGGCCCCGCATCCTGAGACCGTCGGCCTTCTGGAGAAGATGCAGGCGCTGGGCTTCAGCCATCAACCTAACATGCAAACTCCTATGCACTGCAATGCGCCTTGAGCTTCAGGAGCGAAGGGATCCCAGCACTCTGCGATTTTTTTGCTAAAATTCTGCGCTTTGGACTTGAGGTCCAGAGATTGCCACTTTCAATGCAGTCCTGTCAGCTTGTGCTCGGGCACAGGAGCTGGTCAGAGCCCTAGCAGTGCAGGCCGTGTAACGCCATGTGATACTGCCACGACAGCCCCCGAAAGGCGCAGTGCAAGCTTCTTCTGGATACGGTGAATGGCCGATGGCTTGGAGCTGGTGTGTAACGTGTAACTTTCTCGGCCTTCGGTCGTTTGTCTGAGGTGCTTCGCTGCAGCCCGACACCGTCACCTGTGATCATCTCATAGGCCGGAATGTGCAAAAGAGCAATAACGAGCACATGAAAGAGCTGGGTAGGGCTGGTCCGCTCAGCATGAGACTTCTTGCTACCTTCCAGGTGGATGCTGCCGAAGGGGCCTCTGGGAGCAGGTGCTGAAAACTTCACCCCCTCTAGGGGGTCTCTGGGGCGCTTTTTGGCCGTGAGAGGCGCTACTTCTTCTTGGCCGGGCCAGGGATCTTTCTCTGGCCGATGTGTCGACCTTTGAGGAGGGCTTGCAGGCGACGCCGGGAAGCCTCCCGCACCCTTCCCCCGGTCATGTGCGGTTTAGGGTTGAGGGTTTAGGGTTTAGGGTTTTTTAGCCAAAAAGCAGGCCTGCTTTCGAGGAAGGCAGCCGCGGCTCGTGGGGGGTCTCAGCTTGCGCGTTTGCTTCGGCATCGAACTGGCAGCACGTTCCGTGTCTGAGGCCCTTCTGCTCCTGGCGGAGATGGACCGTGGCGCGTCCTTGTTAGGGTTTAGGGAGAGTTTCGGGTTTAGGGTTTAGGGTTTAGGGTTTGGGTTTAGGGTTTAGGGATCGTCGATGTTTGCCAACTGGCCAGCAGACGAAGACAGGTATGCCAGCCGGTGTGAAGCACTCAGTGAAGTGTGTGGCAAGGGTGCAGCCTGGCGGGCTGTTTGTTTCGGGCCTGCTGGTCCACCAAGTCAGTAGTTTCTGAGTCCAGAATCAACGGCCGGCAAGCTGCAGGTCACCACCCCTGCGATTAACACTGCCATGGCAACGTGCGCTCGCTTCGGGCTCTGGAAGCAGGCACGCTGCGTCAAACAACACGTTAACCTATGAATTAACACTGTAGAGATGGCCTGCCAACCCCCCCCCCACCCTTTAGATCTTCTTAGAAGAAGGGCAACTTCCGCTCGGGCTCTTCACAAAGACTTTCACCATTCCCTCATAACCTGCGCCTCCATTGTTCATGATGAGGCGATTGCCCTGCTCAGCGAGCTGCAATCGCGGGGCCCTTTGCGACTTCATTTTGTGATATGGTATCGGAGGTGAAGCTGCAGAGAAGCATCAAAGCTTCCCAGGCGCCACCTGCCCCCAGACTCTGCCACATACGCAGCGGCAGCGGACAGAGACTCAGATGCTGAACAGTGCGGAACCGCCAGCTTTCGGCCGCTGCCTGCCCTACATGAGCATGAAGCGAAGCTGGAAGTGCGGCAGAGCGCCCAAAAATCCAGGATGCACTCCCAGCAGTTGCAGCATTGTAGGCAAGATGCAGCAGAAAGAAGCGCAAGCAGCGCGAATCTGGATAGCGGCAACACTCAAATATCACAACACCCTCATATAATGTTCTAGTAAGTAAGAGGCCTTAGACCTGGTGGAGGGCCTGATGGCACTCTCAGGGTCGAGCGCGATAACGCCATGTTCTCTTGTCTTAAAGTACTCATTGCATCTTGGTCGACAGCCGTGAGGCTGCTTGCCAGAGCGCCCCGTCTACGGCTTGGGAGTATGCTGTGCTTCTGTTGCAGGTGCGGATTGCCAGAGGCAGAGAGGTGCGGTAGATTGGGGCTTTTGAGTGCTTGCAGCTGCGAGGAGTCACAAGGGTTTGGGCTGGCAAGTCCTGAGACCTACGCCAGCGCTGTCTGCCGCTTACAACACAGCCTGCAAGCTGTCAGAGCCCCCTCTCCAATGAGATTGATCGTGTTATGGGGCGTAATCACTCAAAGTTTTTTGTTGCCGCTCCATGTCGACCTTGGACGTTGGGCGGAGCTGTTGCTTTGGGATGCGGAAAGAGTTGGTGTCGGGCATTGGGAGCTGCCTTGGAAAGGTGCTATTTGGAGAAAGGGCTAGACTGATGTCAAGCTTTCTTGCAGCAGACGGCCTCATGCCAGCAATGTTCTGCTTAGATTGCTTGCTGCGGAGAGCGTTGGCAGCTCGTCATCTCGGCCTGGTTCTCAGCAGACGTTGTAAAACGACACGCTTCCGCCCTGCGGAAACCTAGCAGTCTAGCAGTCCACCATGGTCTGAGCAATCTTGTGGGAAGAGCTGTTTCCTGTAGAAGCGGCTCTTTTCACGAGGCTCTGGTTGAGATGCATTCTACAAGGGTCCCTCCAGCTGCACGGACGCCTGCCACCTAGAGACCTTCTCCTCCACACCTGCGGCTGTCAAAGCGTGCTTCCCCAGGTATTCCGACGTCCTTGGCGCCTTCACCGCGCTAAGCCTGGCTCAAGCCGCAGCCGGAGCCTCACCGAGTGCCCAGCTGCACATGAGCAAAGGTCGGCCATCTCGTGTAGGCTTCGTAGACCTCTGCACCCTATCATCCGCCATCAGGTAGAGCTTCTGGAGGACCCCCTGAGGAAGGAGCTTGGGCCTGGATGACGTCGCAGGCATCTTATCCTGGAGCAGAATTTCGCAAGAAGCGTCCCGTCATGTCTGAATGTTGCGAGGTCTGCTACTGATGGAGCCAACCTTCCCAGGGCTTTATTTCTTTCATAGAGCTGCTGTGAGCATGCTGCCGGCTCTTTCTGCATGCGGTAGTCTGCAAGTCGGCGCGAATGCTTGCGGCACACCAGCTCAAGAGCGATGTAAAAGAAGCCGTGCGTCTGCCCCATGCAGCCTATACATGCTGCATCTCGTAGCCTTCGGGGAACCACATTCCAGATCATTCCGGTGTGAAGGTTTCATCCGGTCTTTGGCACCAGCAACGTGTTTAGGAAAAAGGTTGCCCCGGCCATGGAGGGGCTGTCGGCTGCTTCTCGGCTGCACCGATTCCTGCGTCGCAAAGCGGGCATGTCTCGGCACATTGGGGGCATGCCACATCCTGGCCGCTCGCATTGCGGTGCCACCGAGGCCGGGTCTTCGCTTTGGGAGGCTCGCGCATAACAGTGACAGAATTGATGCGAGGATGTTTCGAGTCTTTCGCTTGTGCTTCCGAGCATCTCCATCATTGGGGCTTCGTTTCTCCACCTGTCTTCAGTTGCTTGTTGGACAGACAAACAGAGCCAACCTTCCCCGAAAACACCTACTCCTGATGCTCACGACCCTTTTTGGGGAGCTCCTCCTTGCTCACGAAACAACTTCCTTGACCTGAAATAACAAGGACTTTACCATACATTACATGAGAGCGTATCGTGCTTCAGCATACTAGAAGTAGTGAGAACAGTGGCACGATTCATGATGTTCAAGGAGTTCCTTTCCGCACAGTCCTCTTTCAGCACATCCTCGTTTAGGTAGAACTTTGGATACGAGAGCTTATCACACAATAGAGCGCCCTTGCCCAAAGAGTCCGTGACCCATTGTGGCCGGCTTGTGACCAAATGAGGCGCATGGCAGGTGTCTATTTGCTTGATCATGTGGCATGCGAGTGTTCGCGGGCTCTTCAGTTGAAGATGTAGTGCCAAGCTACCCGCGACCAGAACAGGAGATGCCAAGCCAGGATTTAGCACCACGACGTTCTTCCATTGGACATGGAGATCTTTGGCAAAGCACGGAGATGGGAGAAAAGCGCAAGAACGAAGTTCATTGGTCCCTTGTCCTTGTCTGCATGGCCTTGATGAACTTTGCATGTCTTGCTGCAGTGCAGGTGTCGATTATCGACGCGCATGTTGCGAGCCCCTTCCAAAAACGGTTTGATGAGAAGGACTCAGCAACTGAGATCTACGAGAATGCCGCGCTCTTTTCCGTCGCGCCTTTGCAAGCCTTTGTTCGCAGCAGGGGCCGCGATGGCTTTCACGAAGTCTCTGCCTCAAGTGCCAAGCCAGCAGCGTCCGCCCCCAAAGATTCAGAAGCCTGTGTATTGCGATTCGCAAGGCGGCTCCAAGCCTCCAACGGCCTCAAAGAAACCAAACCAGCTCTCTTCAGGAAGGTCATGGATGCAGCCGGGCTTACCAACATGACTTTCGTGGAGGAGTTGATGGCAGGTTGGCTTGTGACCCCCATGCAGACCGCAGGCTTTGTGAACAAGACGCTGACGTGCTTGGCAGCGAACCCCATGCTGGAGCAGTTCGCCTGCCGCGCAGAGGAAGCCGGGCTAACCTGGCGAGCTGAAGATGGTGAGGGCTTCTTAGACCTGGTCCACGAGGCGATTCATGTTGCCATCTTCCTGGAAGAGGTCACAGCAAGGGCTGCCGGAGATTACTTCTTTGCTTCCAAGGTTTTCCAGTACCTCTTCCAAACGCAGCATGAGCGAGTCATGGCAGCTTTCGAGCAAGAGTACCAAGGGACGCGAAGAGATTTCGCGGAGCTGAAATGGCAAGGGGTCATGAGAGGTCTTGAAGATCTGTTGCTTCAGCACCACGTGCAGGCTCCCTACACCAAGGGAGAAGGCACAAGGATGATGACATGGCTGCGGTTGAACATTGCCGAGGCAGCTCGGATGGATCTCGGAAACGGTCGCTTGGCCAACGTCGCTGTAGCCCTTAGTCTGATGGCCGACATCGATATGCCTCCGAGCAGCAGTGAGTCCGGAACAGTCTTCCCAGTTGGCAAAGCGTGGGCAGACGCTTACATCGCCTGGAATTCTGCGTATGTCCTGAGCCTCGGTGAAGTTAGCCTTCTTGCCATTACGAAGCTCTTCATACCAAGTGTCAGTTGCACATCCAGTTCACTGAACGCGGAAGACTTTGTCGTCAGCCGCGTGTTCTCCCTCGCTCTGATGATCGCTACAAGATCTTCGAGGGACTGTCCGGGACGTGTCCCCGCGAACATGGTCTCCATTTCCTTGATGGAGGAGTGGGGCCTCAGCAATATGCAAACGCTTCCGCTCCCCCATCCAGCGGAAGAAGACCTGGAAGAGATGCTTTACGGTCTGTGCCTGAATGCATGTGCTCGTCACGAGTATCTGCTGGGTAGACTTTCCGATGAGGACTTTCGAACTCTGATGGTGTACCTCGCTTGGATAACGGTGTTGATCACCGGTTGGGGCTTGGAAGCTGTCGTGGGACAACACCTCCTCCAGGTTCTTTCCAAAGACCGAGCACATGACATGTGGCGGCTTGCCCAGTTTCTTTTTCCTCTCTTGGCAACGGTGGCCCTCAACACTGCGGCTCGGAGGGATTGGATTTGCCTGTTGCCTTTGCTGCTGGCCAACTGGAAGTTTGGTTTTCCTGAGACCGCCAGCTATCTCCATCAAAGCCGATGCAGAGCCAAAGGTTTGCTCAAGCACTTCTCGAGCAAAGAGCTGTCGGAGTTGCTTGCTGCTTGGAGCAACTGCTGCGGACTGCTTTTGCATCACGGCGCTGCGTCGCTGGTGATTGCAGGCCTTGCAGCCGGCTTGTATCCATTGACTCGCGAGATCCAGTCATGCATTATGCCGTTGATTCTGCAACATTGGCTATGTCTCCTGCGCTATGTCCATATTCGGATCTATTCCTTCCTCGAATTGATTTTGGAGGTTGCCTTTGAGGCAAGCGTGCTGCTGGGCTCTCAAGCAACAGAGTGGTTGTGTTAAGCTTACCTTTTTTGGTTTTGATGTTTCGCAGTCCGTCGCCCCGAGGTTCGAGAGCTACGCCAGCCTCTACCAGTTCGATTTCTCAGTCAGACTCGCTGCGTCGGGTATGATTTTTGCACATTGGCTCTACCTGGCTGCCGCTATCTTCGATCTGGGCATGCCCCGTGGGCCGTGTGCCAAAGATAATGTCAAGGAGCCGCCCGATGTTATCAGGGTGTGAGGTCGACCATTCCGACTGTCAGCTCCTTCGAGGCCTTTGCGGTTCAAACCGACGGCCTGCTGAGCGTATATCACATGCTTCTATTATTTTGGCTGTGCGGGTCTGTATTATGCCTCCTGCCTTCTTGTTCTATTTCTTAACTTTGATTTTCTTCTTCTGTCTAGAATAGACAGGAGGAGGTTCTCGAGCCTGCTGAATTGAGTGCATGGGAGCCTGGTTCTTTGTTACAGACGGAGTTCTGGCAGCCGCAATGGGCTGACGATGCATGTCAGAGACGCTGTTGTGGCTTCACGTCGGTGGGGTTAGCAACCTGGAGGGAGGGGTGCGCTGGAGGGCTTGGACTTGGGGTTTAGGCGGACAATACGGGTTCGCAGCCTCCATGGCTTCAGGTGGAGAAGCGACCGCCGTTGCTACCATGCAGGCCGGGGGACACCTCCTTGCCAAGTTCAGCAACCAGAATGTAAACTCTTTTTGAGTCCTTTCCAGGGTGCCGGCGGCCATGCTCACGGAGACCTTGGAGGTTGGGCGGTGCGCCTTTTCCGTTCCGGAGCCTTCTGTAGATTGTGGGGCGCAGGCTTGGAAGAGTCGCTTGGGATGCAGTACCCGAGCGACAGTGGCCGAAGCTGGCAAGAGGCCTGACAGCAGTAGCTAAGGGGCACGGGGATCAAAAAAAAGGGATCAACAAAAAAGCATAGGGATCAATAAAAGAGTAATAACGATCAACAAAAAAAGCAAGCCATCCGGCCCACCGATCTGGTCCTCTGGTCCCGTGGTGCCCTGGTCCCGTGGTCCTCTGGTCCCGTGGTCCGCTGGTCCCGTGGTCCCCTGGTCCCGTGGTCCCCTGGTCTTGTGGTCCTGGTCCTCTGGTCCTCTGGTCTGCTTGTCTGTCCGCCTGGTTCTCCGGGTCCGATATGGTCCTATATATATATACACACTATGCTGAAGGTCAAAGTGTGTAAATAAATAAATAAGCAAATAAATAAATTAATAAATAAATAGATAAATAAATAAGTAAATGTATAGATATATAGATAGATATAGATATAGATATAGATATAGATATAGATATAGATATAGATATATCTATATCTATATACACATTACATACTACACATTACATATTACGTATTACATATTATATATTACACATTCTATATTATATACTATATATTATATATTGTATTTTCTATATATTATATATTGTATATTATACATTATATATTATATATTGTATGTTATATATTTTACATGATATAATATATGATAGAATATATTTTATATCGTATAGATGATATACTGTATAATTATATCTATATCTATATCTATCTATAATATCTATATCTATATCTATATCTATTCTATATCTATATCTATCTCTATATCTATATCTATATCAATTATATTTATATGATATTATACTATATTATATTATATCATAAATCATAAGTTATAAATTGGAAATTATGAATTATAAATGGTATATTATTTAGTATATATTACAGATTATAAATTATGGATTATATATCAGATATTATATATAATATACGATTTGTTATTTCTTGTATATTATGTATTTTGTTATTTGTTATATCTTACATATTACATATATATCTTGTTGAAGCCGTTTTCTTAACATATTTAGAAATAGAGGTTTTCAGATGGAAACATAGAGATAATAGAAGATTGATTTCCTACAAAAATGTGAAGAAAATAGAGGTTTTCTTGCGGGAATATGAAGAAATAGAGGTTTTCCTATTAAAGGATCGAGAAAATTGAAGGTTTTCCAACCACTACCACCACTACTACCCATGGTGCGAGCATTGTGTTTGCAAATGGGGGTGGCTGCGCCCCCCCCCCCCCCCCCACCCCCCCCCACCCCCCCCCCCCCCCCCACCCTCCCCCACCCCCCCCACCCCCCCCCCCCCCCCCCCCCCACCCTCCCCCCCCCCCCCACCCCCCCCCCCCACCCCCCCCCCCCCCCCCCCCACCCCCCCCCCCCCCCACCCCGCTGGTTTTTTTAAGCTGTGCAAAGATGAGGGAGGGGGACCGGCTTTTATTGTCGGCTTTTGTTGTTGCTACTGTTGATCCTAACCCTAAACCCTAAACCCTCTGCGCCAAGAGAACTTCAACCTCATGATCCCATGAACGACGGACCGCTGCCTTCATCCGAGGTGAGTTTCGAGCGTCGACCTTCGCGACCTTGTTGTGAAGGCCTGCCATGTGCTAGGTTCGTGCTCGTGCATGTGTACTCAGCTTCTGGCAAGCATGTGATGGAAGGCTCTGAGTTCAAGCTGTCAATCTGCTGCGTTGAGTAGTGCTTCATACCAGTACCTGGGCCCAAGGAAGTCATACTCATACGGCTTAGCTGAGAGAGTGTTCTCTCCTCCGGTGCCTGCGTCATCTGCGTCTGCGCCATGCCAAAGCTCTTCGTGGCGAGTGATTACGTGGACAAGGAGCTGCAAAAGTTGCGGCAGGAGCTGCTCTCAGAGATCGCGGAGCTCCGGGCGCAGCTAGCCGGAGGAAATGCTCTCATCGGTCGTTCAGGGACTGCGGAGAGCCAGGCCAGTCTCTTAGGGTTCTTGTCAAAGGGTTTAATTTAAGCTACCATCATAAAGGAGCCCGGTTAGTTACTATAGATCCCTATTATGGTAACTGAAAGCCTTAAACCCTTATGGAACCTTGCAAGATCCCTTAAAAGAACCCTGAAAGGATCCCTAGTATGGTAACTTTACCTAAATTCTCAGGTCTCGGGAAAGCAGATGCAGCCACTCGACGTCACAGGCTCCGCCAGCTTTGGGCTCGTGGCTGAGGAGGAGGAGGCAGTGGGCTCAAGACATGTATGTATATATATATATATATATAGATATATTTATATTTACATTTATATTCATATTTATATTTATTTGTTTATTGTATATTTATATGTGATGATATATGTATATTTATATTTAGCTTTATCTTTATTTGTATCTTTATCTTTATCTTTTATCTTTATCTTTTATCTTTATCTTTTATCTTTATCTTTTATCTTTATCTTTTATCTTTATCTGTATCTTTAATCTTTTTGCTTTTAGCTTTTATCTTTTATCTTGTATCTTGTATCTTTTATCTTGTGTCTTTTATCTTTTGTCCTTTGTCTTTTGCCTTTTGTCTTTTGTCTGTTGTCCTTTGCCGTTTGCCTTTTGCCTTATGCCTTCTGTCTTTTGTCTTTTGTCTTTTGTCTTTTGTCTTTTGTCTTTTGTCTTTTGTCTTTTGTCGTTTGTCTTTTGTCTTTTGTCTTTTGTCTTTTGTCTTTTGTCGTTTGTCTTTTGTCTTTTGCCTTTTGCCTTTTACTAACGAAGCGTTTCGTTGACAAACGAAGCGTTTTTGCCTTTTGCCTTTTGCCTTTTGCCTTTTGCCTTTTGGATTTTGGCTTTTGGCTGTTGGTTTTTGGCTTTTGGCTTTTGTCTTTTGTCTTTTGTCTTTTGTCCTTTGTCTTTTGTCTTTGTCTTTATCTTTATCTTTGTTCATTATTGTATATCATATCATGTATTATATATATAGACAACGGGCACCATCTTAACACACCAAGCGTGAGTACATGGGGAGGAGTAGCATACATATTTTATACACAAATGACAGATACATAAATATGTACTTGGGGCCTGTATGGGGATTGTTGAGGGTTTAGGACTTATGGGTTATCAGCCTTTCCTTGTCTCTTTAGACCTCCTCCGCAGCCGGCAAGGACAGCCCCAAGGAGGTGGAGATCACGGTGACGAGCTCGAACCCTCGTGCGCCTGGGCCCAGCCGAAGCTGCAGTGAGGCCACATGCATCTGAGCAATAAGAGCAACAGTAACAGACAGCATCAGAAGACTAAAAGAAAGACCCCAAACCCCAAAACCCCATGTCCAGGTCATCACGACGGAGCCAGATTGCCTCCAGGCTCGTCCCCGCAGTTGATAACGGTTTCGGACTTAGGGTTTAGGGGTCGGGGTGTTGAAAACTGCCCCAATCTTTCAAAAGCCTAAACAAACCCTGACACCTCTCTGCAGCAACTGACACAGCAGCAGGAAAGCCTACAGTTGACAGCATCGGTTTGGGGTTTACTCTTGGCTCATCTCGCAGTGAGACCCGTGTAGCACTAGCAGTCGTGATCGTCAGAGTCATGTCTAGAAACTGCCCTGCCTGCAGTAAGAGTACAAGCAAAGGCGTAGCAACTGTCGTCGTAGTCGTGATACCACCTGCTCACAGGCAGAAGCAAAGCATCATTAACAAAAAGACGCACGCGCAAGACACGTGCGTTCATTTTCGACAATGAGCGCGCTGGCAGTACTACCAGACTCAAATGGGGGCTTCCGAAAACAGGGGACCCTAATATGGCACCCTAAATAGTGGGATCCTTCTGAAAAAGAACCCCAACACAAGGTACCCCTATTTTCAGAAACTCCCAAATCTTAAACCCGTTCAAGACTCCCTCAACCCTCAACCCTATAGCACCCTGCTAAAGCCACAGCCATGATGTGCAAATGGTGTTGAGCCATTAGCACCCGGGACAACCGGAGATCCCGAAAGGCACACATCATCAAGGCACTGAAGCCCTTTGGGGGCAAGCCACCGGGTTTAGGGGTTCAGGATGTAGGGTTTAGGGGTTTAGGATTTAGGGTTTAGGGGCGGCCCAGCTTCTACAACCTCACAACAATCAGAACCTGAAAAGGGACCCCAGCCATCCGCCCCTGCCCCCGCAAACCCTCAACCCTAAGGCCCAAATTCCTAAACCCCAATAGGGCCCCCCCTCCCCATGCCGGAGGTCATGTTCGACAAGAAGAGTGCCTGGAGCGTTCCCCTGCTTTTGTTTGCGGGTTACGGGTATGGGGCGTGGCTTCAGGTTGTTGATTTTCTATAGAAGCGGAAAAAGTTGCCAATGCTTTTCCTGAAGGCTCCTTTTTGTTGTTCTTCTTCTCATTGTATTAGTATTCTTATTTTTCTTATCATACGTATTGTCCTTATTTTGATTATTCTTATTCTTATTATTATACTACAAATGAGCCCAAAACCCTGCTCTAATTATTCAGGCCTTTGCATTAGTTCAGGAGTTGGGTATCATTGACACCGGGACCCATCCTTATCCTCCTTGGTAGGATGAGGACACCCCTTAAAGGGCACTGTGTGGGTACTTTAAGGGTGCTTTATATAAGGTATCTATAGGGGTACTACAACGGTTTTGGGTGTAGTATTAGGGAGACCCCTTAAAGGAGACCCTTCTTGACCCTACTTCCGGCTCTCTCAAGAAGGGACCTCATTGAGAGGGTGTTGCTCCCCCAATGCCCAAAGGTCCCCCAGAAACTTTGAACCCTAAGCCCTAAGCCCTAAATCCTAATCTTAATCCCACACAGCCTAAGCCCTGCCTATCCTAATTCCTACCGTTGATAATATATAAATATAAATATATATATATATATATATATATCCTGCATCACCGTAAGGACCCTAAACCATGGGAATGGTATATTCCTTAACATGGGTAGTGTCTTATATGTCCGGGTTATATTCCTGGGATAAGGGGTGTTGGAGTCTCTCTGGGATCCGAAGTCCTATCGGTGTAGGGTGCAGGGTTAAGGGTCTATATCCGACCAGGTTCCCTTGGTCCTCTTCTTGGCTCCTGGCCGGATGGAGGGGCTGATCGCAAGCTTGCTCTTGCTGGTCAATGCTGCCATGCAGGTACACTCGGTTTAGGGGTTAGGATTTGCGGGCTTCTTGATGTGGGTAGTCTAGACAGTCATCAGCCACGGTTGGGTATGCTAACTAGTGCAGCCCAGGCACTCTTCTCCTACATTATCTTCTCGAATGAGTTCTTGGGCGATGACTTTTCGCAGAAGCGCGGGGAAGCAACCACATGGCGCCGGAGTTATGCCCACGACTACAAGTACATGGACTGCCGGTTTGCAGAAGTGTTGACAATCTCGATGTTCCAAAAGCAACAGTGTGGAGACAGTTCGAGTTCAACAGGAGAAGCACAAAAACGAACTTGCGGCGGTAAACATGACTGCAGTAGCGGCGGAGCAGCACTGGTATTAACAACGCCGACACAAGAGCAGCAAGAAAGACGATGGCGCAGCAGACGCTGCCGCCGTAGTAAACGGTATAGTGAGATGCGTGCTGAGAAAGGAGTTTCCGAAAGTTAGGGTACGTCCTTATACTAAAGATCCTACCATTTAGGGTCCTTTTCTAGGGTCCCCTAGTTTCGGAACCCCCCTCCCCCCCCCCCCCCCCCCCCCCCCCAGAATGCAGGACCTCACAGACACGAGTCTGGCATCCAGGGTGTGCGATGAAGATGGCTCCCTGATCTTCTCGAACCTTCAGGCAACCCTCGTGGAGGACATCAACCACTTCCTGGGCCTTCAGGTTGGGTTTAGGGTTTAGGGTTTAGGGTTTAGGGTTTAGGGTTTAGGGTTTAGGGTTTAGGGTTTAGGGTTTAGGGTTTAGGGTTTAGGGTTTAGGGTTTAGGGTTTAGGGTTTAGGGTTCCTGCAGAGTTGAGCAAGCAAAAAAGAACTTACTGTGTACTGTTTGCAGAAAGGTCATGGAGTTCGAGTTGGGATCCTTTCAGCCAGGGGTGCTCCTGGCCGTTCTCTGCATCTTCCTCTGGAAC